TGCATTGTAAATCATTAAAATATGAAGAAGGTGATTCAGTGGAAACAAGTTCATTTCTTCAAAATCTATACAGGGTGAGTCATGAGGAACTGTACATACTTCTATCACGAATATAGGCCCCTGAGGGGAATACCGAATGTCCATCAGAAAGTGTCTTCTTTTCTTATATTTTCCAATATACAGTGTCATTCATTAAGTCGGCATCATAATGGGAAAAACTTTTATTAATGACTTATTTTGGAATTCGAGTTGGACGTTGAGTTTTGCTTCAAAAAAGATGGAAAATGGCCTACTCAATCGGGGTCACGTGACTTTCGCTACATGTCAAAAGTGACATTTTTTCAAATTAATCGCTGAAAGAAGGCTTATTTGTTCGAATATCGAAATAGTTTACTTGAAAAAGTTGTTTTTCTAATTTTGACATGTAATGTGACACTTTTCAAAACTGACGGAAGTTTTGAAACGTCTTACTTTACGTAACCAGTTGCGTAAAGTAAAATTTTACATAACTGGTGATGTAATGTTCATTTCATTCATTCATTTCACACAACAAGAGTCGGCAGAACTCATGTAAAACTGGTCATTATTTTTGTTCATGCGAAATGTTTCGTCAAAATTAGAAAAAATATTGTACGTGACACGTTAGGAAACGCCATTTTGTGTAACTCTGTGATGTTGCGGGATCTCGCTTCGCTCGTCCCGCAAAATCCCATCGTTACACAAAACAACGCGTTTCCTAACTGATTACGTAAATATCTATTCTATTTCAATTTTACACATGCTTCCCGAAATTGATCTTTCTATTGCAACTTTAAGATTTTGATTTTTTTTTAATTTTTCGATATTTCTGTAATATTTGAAGAATTGTTAATTCTACGAAACTATATCATACCAGTAGCTTTTCAATGCTACTTACTTTTAATTACTCATTATCACTGATTATGGACAGAAATATTATTTTCTTCAGAAAATGATAATACCCGCTTCCAAATTCTGTTATGTTAGATGCAAAGTTGATATAACGTCAAGCATTTAGAAACGAAATTCATTTGAACTGATCTTTTGAGTACTGAAATAATAAATTTAAATGAATTTCGTTTCTAAATGCTTGACTCAAACATAACAGAATTTTGATGTTATGATTGCACCAAACATAACAGAATTTTGAAGAGGAGATTATCATTTTCTGAAGAAAATCATATTTTTGTTGATAATCAGTGATAATTAGTAATTGAAAGTTAGTAACATGATGAAGCTACTGGTATGAAGTAGTTTTATCGAATTTGCAATTTTTTTAATATTACAGAAATTTCGAAAATTTAAAAAAATATCGAAATCTAAAAAATGTAACAATAGAAAGATAAAATCCGAGTCACATATGTATAATTCAAATAGAAACAAATTTTTCAAGTAAACTTTTTCGATATTCGAACAAATGAGCCTACTTTCAGCGATTAATTTGAAAAAATGTCACTATTGACATGTAGCAAAAGTCACGTGACCCCGATTGAGTCGGCCATTTTTCATCTTTTTTGAAACAAAACTTAACGTTCAACTCGAATTTCAAAATAAGTCATTAATAAAAGTTTTTCCCATATGATGCCGACTTTATGAATGACACTGTATAGGGCGAATTATGAGATTTGGCAAAAACATCTTTTGGTCATAACATTCCAGCAGCTTCTTCGATTATTCTGACTTTTTCATGGAATATCCCGCTACTACACTCTAATCGACTGACTCATCCAGAATCGGGAAAATCCAGGACTATTCTTGAAAAATTTTGATAGTTTTGTTTATAGCAAAAAGTTCATCCTGTATATCGATTTGTAAAGTGTGACAGGGAATTTTCAGAATATTACAAATTTTTCTCACACTTTCACTGTATAGTTTGAAAAAAAAACTATGAATTTTATGAAAAAACGAGAATTGTCAAAAATAGTAGATTGTTTTATTAGGATCAAAAGTGTTTGTTTGACAAGCGAATTTTGCATTTGCAAGGCGGAGCGTTTAGCGAAGCCGAGCGAAAGCCAAATTTGCGAGTCGAACAAAGTCACTTTTGATCCGAATGAAACATGCTATTTTTTCTGCAACCGAAACAATCAACTCAAATGAATTTATGAAGTAACCACCAATGTCGTGCCATATGTACGTAATGCAACAAATATTGACAAATAATCCGTGTGGTGAGAATATTCTACCTGTATTAACAGCAGGTTTATTCAATTTTCAAGGATGTTCGAATTGTAGTACCCATATAAATACAACCACAGAGTGACATATTTGTGTATGGACCAGGTGCTCTAATGGCAAATACCGCGCCAGGTATAGGAACAACTACAATAATAGCGATTATTCATACTCCACTGTGTTTGACTTGATAATCAAATGAAACTGAACAATATCGTTGTTTGAGACAAAAAACTATTGCTTGCCGTGATTATTCAATAACAAGTTATCCATTCCGAGAATAACGAATGAAATACAGATCAAGCAAGTATTTGAATCTTGAAGGCTTCCCTGATCAAAACAAAAATACTTAGCTGAGATGTTTATAATTCCAATACTAAACTATAATAAGGTGTATTCATATATCCAGCATGGGTATGAAATGCCAAATCTGCCGAAATCGGAAACAAATCAGGTATGCGTCTCAACCCAAATAACCAAACGTCACAATGTTGTTTATTCTTGATGACGTCCAGTAAATCCTTTTTAGTTCCTAGGAGCTAAAGTTGAACTTTAGCTCCTAGGAACTAAAAATCAACTTTAGCTCCTAGGAACTAAATATGTTGCCTAACAACATACCTATTTTTGTGTCAGTAAATGAAACGCCAATTTAAGAGCTGATTTTGGTATCAAAATGGACGACTTTTGTGTCGGTTGCAGAAAAAATTATTTATTTGGAAATTAACACTTCGCAACCCATAAATTTGACGGATAAAAGTGAGACTTACATTTTCAATGCTTCAACTCAATGGAAATCAATGAATGGTTTTTTATTGATTATTTTCAAGATCCATTTTTGTGTTGTTTCTAGAGTCGATGGGTAATTATCTGTTATGTTGTTTGGCTCTATTTTTTTTTTTCTAAATGAAAAACTTCAATTCTGTGTTTTGATCATGTTTATTTGAACCTTTACATAACTTTTAAACCGGTAAACATAAATCAAAAAACAGAATCGAAGTTTTTCATTTAGAAAAAAAAAAGAGAACTAAACAACATCGGATGACTTATTTTGGTCCATCAACTTGTACATATCCCTTATCATTGTTTTTTATTCAATACTCAAAAACATCGTCATTATACGATTAGTGGATTCGATATCAATTGATTCATGAATGCATTATTCGAATTCAATGAAATTGATTCCCAGTAATGCTGAGTTTGTACAGGTTTAATGGTATTTGCTTTACTTGTTAACAAGCCAAGGATACAGTTAAGAATAAAATTAGTTTTGAAATGCCGATACATACCTACATACCTATTTACATAATTATACAAAAGCAGCAACTATATATAGAAGGAGGCATAGTCCCATTAGGGCAGTTGCACTGAATCAATACTATGTTTATTTCCATTTGGTTACATATCATCTGCCAATTTTGCATTTTTTAGTCCAATGAATCATCCGAAATATGATTTTTTTAATGAAAATGATTCAAAATAGTTCGGGAGATGAGAGAAAATGTTGAATAATATCCTAGTCTCTTCCATAACAACACAAGTACATCCTAGGGACTTAGGATATCCCTAGGGAGTCCCAAGGATATTCCAGGGACATCCCTTCGACAAAAGAAAAAATGTAGGTCGTGTAGGGATTGAACCCGGGACCTTTAGCTTATCAGGCACGCACCTTACTCCATTGGCTAATATGCCTTACTAAACAGATTTATAAACAGTACAAAACTGAAACCTGAATAAATACAACTTTGTTAGGATTTCATGTATACTTATTATCATTCTAGGGTGTTTAAAAATGAGGGGCATTATGCGTTTACGATTTCTGTTTGCGAAAAATGGTAATTTCTTCAGAAGTTCTGAGACTATATTCTTCATCTTCAAAACAATTATTTTCCGGAAGAAAAACAAACATTTTCAAAGAAATTCAACTCAATATTTTGATGAAATTCAATGACTCTGATGTGAATGGATATCAGATATTCCAGAGACACGAATAGGATAACCTAGGGATGTACCGGGCGGGATGTCCACTGGACAACCACTGCGGGACATCCCCTGGATGCCCCATCCATGTCCTTGTACCGCGGGACAAAAAAGGGACGTACCTAGGACACTCCTGTGTTGATATGGTCGTGATAGAAATAAGGCAAATAATTGTAATCAGTATAATAGCTCAATTGAAAGAACAAAAACACTCTGTATGTTGAAAACGAAGCATAAAAGAAGATACGATCATGGTTACTAGGAACATTCTACTTGATACTAGATTCATTATCATTGTACAGGATGATTCACCATAAATGTCCCCCTTGAAAATTTGAAAAATCATCTGAAATAATTTTTCAGAATTTTTTCCGCCATATCAGAAAATACAGAGTGCTCGGAACAAACGATCTACAGGGTACTAGTTGATTTTTTCAATTTCAATTCATTTTTCGATTCTGCATGAAGAGCTGATTCCATCAATGCATAACACTTGGGGCCAAGCTGAAATAATTACAGAGAAAATTACTTGAGTAAATCAAAAGTTATTATAGGGACATGTGAGTCATTTCATCATACAGGACGTGGAAAGAAATTCTGAATTGAGAAAACCTAATCACGAATCTGCGATTGAAGGTTTATAAAAATAACAATTTTCCATCGTTCAAGTTTTTTTATGTTACAAGAAAGTTGAAAAAAGTAGCATCAGAAATCCTTCGTTCACCATATTATTCTTTTTTTGAAATTGGTTGATGAAACAGCTCCAACAAATGTTTCTAAAATTTTCTCATATCCATACCAACTCACTGCTTACCATCTTTATTTATTTTAAGGTGACTTTGGGAAGTATCAAGCATGGCAATTTTTCTTACACATACTCTCAGCCGTCTGCGCAGGTCTGAATATGATGACCCTCGTTACAGTTGCAGCTGTTCCAGAATACAGGTTAGGAATTTGGAAGTTACCTGAAACTCATATTTCAAATATTCACACCATATTGAAAACGTTTTTTTTTATCTTACTTACTCATTCTCAAAATGTTCGCACAATAACATAATTCAACAGGTTGTTCCATAATAATGACAAATAACGATGGAGAATAATCATTATTAATCGAAAATTTTAGGTGCGAGATACCTGGTATCGATCTGAACAGGACCTACACTGCACTGAACGATACGATGTTGGCCAGACATCTGCCAAAATTGGCTTCCGGAAAATTTGACAGCTGCTCGTTACTTAACCTCACAACGAACGTTCCCTATAAATGCGAATCATACGTATACGATCACACTCATTATGGCAATACCAGAGCTACAGAATGGGAATTTATCTGTGATAGAAGGTAAAAATATTTTCGATTTGCTTTCATATTTAAATTGATATTGGGTTATTGATATCACGCAAAACATTGAAATTATAGGGAGGTACATGTTGTTGAATACACCCTACCTATATCATAGATATAGCTGTTAATTTTTAGTTCATTCCACCACATTGTTCCCGGATAAGAACTAACAAAATCGTCCGCCATCTTGAAGGCGCCATGTTGATTGTTTTTTTTATCGAAAGCGATCAATTATCTCCGATTTTTTTTTAGGTGGATGGGAGCCGTTGCCCAATCTGTCTACATGTTCGGGGTGTTCACCGGGGCAGTGGTTCTAGGCAATATGGCCGACAAAGTAGGAAGAAAGCCAGTCTTCTGTTGGTCGGCAGTCCTTCAGCTGATATTCGGTGTCGCTGTTGCCTTCACACCCGAATACTTCTCCTTTTTAGTATTACGTTTTTTGTACGGCATTTTTGGATCGGCTGGTAGTTATATACCAGGTCAGCAAACATACAATGCCTTACTCTTTAGGGAATTGAAGAGACCCTGACGATTTTTTTTCTAGGTTTTGTATTGACTATGGAATTGGTGGGGCCCAGTAAGAGATCCATGTGCGGCATTTCGTTCCAAGCGGCTTTTGCTTTCGGAATAATGCTCGTAGCTGGTTGGGGGGCTTTTATCAAAGACAGGCAACTCCTTCAAATCATCTACGGATGTCACGCCATTGTGCTGCTGGGTCATTTCTGGCTCATGGACGAATCTCCTAGGTAAGAAGTTGGTTTGCTCACGTATTCACAATTTCTGGAAACATTTTATGGGGATATTTTCCATATTTCTAAAGTGAAGTGCTGATTTTGAGTTGGCGAATTGGATGAGAAATGAAATACTCGACCGCCATCTTGGGGACTCGATACTTTTTTTTTGATATTTTTGTATATCAGAGTACGGACACTCTGACAAGCACAGACAATCAGACATAACCACAAATAAATATATGGCAAAAAACGGGTGTACCGTCGGTACACGAACGTACATGACATCAATTTCGAAGGTTTGTGAAATTAGGAACAAATTAGGAAAATAATAAGATACAAGTTTGTGCGATTAAATATGAAAGATATGTTAGATGTGAAAAAGAATCAACTGATTTAGAATATGGAACGAGCAACTTGCTTCAAACAAATTTCTAATGAAACAAGACTCGATAATTGTAAATTCCGAGCAGGAATATACAAAAATTGAATGTTTAATTAATGAAAAAAGAGTAAAGAATTCAGGAATAACATTGAAAACAAAAGATAGGGAGTTGGAAAACATCAACAAAAATAACCCATCTTTCCTACTCGAGGAGACGCCAAGCAGTTTCATTAAAAAATGAGAGACAAAGAAAGATATACCATACGCTTCCCTGAACATGTAGATTGTAGAGGCAGGAAGATGAAAAAGATACAAGAACACTTTTAGAGAAGCGGAAAACATAGTCATCTCCTTGCTTGGCAAAGCGTGTGGTCTGCTTCGAAATCAATGGTGGTTATGTCTGACTGTCACTGCTTGTCCAGTGTCCGTTCTCTAAATATACAAAAACGTAAAAATGAAAGGAAAATGAATACGTATAACGTTAAAGTGAAGTTGAAAATACCCATATCTAAAAATTGGTCCGGATAATACATGATGATCCAGTCATCTTATCGCCATCTAGTGACATAGTTCGAAGGTCTAGTACACGTGCAGGCCCCTACGTCTACAACGTTACAAAGTGGTACTAAAAGTACTCTGCTGACAGATGGCACTACCTGACTACTTGAGTGGAATGATCCACCAGTCCTATTCATGAAAATTGGTTTCCAGATGGCTGTGGAGCAACGGCAGAGTCAAAGAATCCGTCGACATTGTCCAAAAGGCGCTCAAAATGAATGGCAAATCCGTCAACTTGGACACGGCTGAGTTTGTGAGCCGGGGAGCTTCGGAGGTGAGACTAAATAGTAATAAAAAGACACAGCGATTCAATCCTGCCCTCATCTACCGTGATCTGTGCTTGTGTCTTCATGGCCAAAACTGCCTGAGAGCTTATCTGCCCATGTATATTGTGAGACTGATCACTCAATTACGAACTTGTAGCAAAAAAAATCCTCAGATTAACCTCCAACGGCCTAGTTTACTCAATCCACTGAAATAACATGTTGAATTTGTAACCTACATGAAATCGAATCATTTGAACATGTCTTGATGGTATGTCCAATTTATAGAGGCATACGGGAAATTGAGCTTTTTGAGCATCTGAATAATATAGAAGATATCGGGCTGAAAGACTTCGGTCAATGGCCTTTTGGGGTATATCCCTAATAAAGATGTTCTCTCTCTCTAGAAGATATCACTCGGCTTTTGGGATATGGAACACTTTTACAACTCAAAACCTTGGTTCACTCAGTAATAAGCATTTTGAAACTCAGGTCATTCATTATCAACAAATAAACGTAATATACAAATTGTTATTCGAATTTTCTTTCCTTTTTTTGTACACGACTCACACTTCATTGGTTCCTGAACGCATCAGCATATATGTATACAGTTTTTTTTCTCTCTCTCATTTTTAGAAACAGATTGATGTAATGTTTCCGTTTCTCAACTCGAACTCCAACCCTTGTAATAAGAATGGGGGAGACCACTGATTTTTTGAAACGACATTATCGTGAACTCTATACTGAAAAACTACCAGTGAATTAATTTTGAATTTTTTCATTCCTGCTAAGACGATGAAAAAAATAAATTAGAATACGTCCATTCCTAAACACACAATTCCTGCGCCATTTGAAATTTTGTCAATTCATTGGTGAGACTGGTGCGACGTCTTAGTCCCAACACGCCTATTGTCCTTGAACTCACCAATCACACTGCAACACTGCAGAAAGATGAGATATCAGAGAGAGATAGCTACAGTGCGGGACTAATACGTCACAGCTCCACCATCATATTTGGCTGTTTGAATTATCGAATGAAATATGCTTATTTCAAAACGATATAGATTCGAATGCCTTCAACTTCAACTCATAATATTGATTATAGATCAAACGTAAATCATGATTCGTAGATTGAAAGAGGTTTACACGGATTTCTTCCTTCAGTGGTCTTCCCCATTATAATTCTTTTGATACAATGAATGATCTATCTATCTATCTATTACTCTGAGGTGAGGACCAAAGAGGAGGCGGGCGGCATCGGGGACCTCTTCAGGACGCCGAACTTGCGGAAGAAGACCCTCAACGTGATGCTGTGCTGGTTCGCCAACTCCTTGGTGTACTACGGTTTGTCTCTGAGCACAGGGAACCTCAAAGGGGACCCGTTCGTGGTACTGTTCGTGATGGGTCTGGTGGAGATACCGAGCTACGTGGCCACAGTCTATCTGATGGACAGGTAAGATGAGATAATTATTTTTTTCTGCAACCCACTCAAAAGTCGTCCATTTTAATTCCAAAATTAGATCTTGAAGTTGGCGTTTCTATTTATGACACAAAAAAGGTATGTTGCTAGGCAACACTGTCAGTTCCTAGGAGCTATAATTGAACTTGAGCTCCTAGGAACTAAGAAGGATGTACTAGGTCATCAAGAATTGTTGGGTATTCTGTGGCTTAGTATTTATTGAATTTAACAAAAAAACTCAAACACAAGCACATACTTACTCAATTTGTAATATTAATATTGAGATACTACAATTCGAACATCCTTGATAATTGAATAAACCTGATCTGTAAACACCTCCACGGTAGTTTTTTCAATGAATCATTTCGAAAAAAAGAAAAAAAAAACTGGTGGATTACGGGACACGAACCCACAACTTTCGTCTTTTCAGTCCAGCATGCTACCCACTGGCCATTGTGTTTTGTGCGAATTTATGTACAAAACATTTATACAGGTAGAATATACTCCCTCCACATCAAAAAAACGGATATCAATTAGTGAATTCCTCGTAGTTTCCTGATGTTATCCGGATTGTATATGAAAAACGTACAGGTCAATTTTTCACAAATTACATAAAGTTTAAGCAGTTCGAGAAATAAGAATTTGCGAAATTTCATATTAATCAATTCAAATTCTGAATCTACACCTATTTATGTCCCAGATCCGTCATGAAGTTTTGTCAGTAAATCTCAAATTCCGATTCGCCACCCCGAAATACGTGTGGAATGAAAGAAATCCAAACTACCCCATGACATTCCTAGTAAAAACACAATTCATCTCGCTTCCTGAGGACTAATTCATGATCCCTCCTACTTCCAGGTGGGGCCGGCGACCTCTCACCTCCTTCGAGATGATCCTCGGCGGCATCTGCTGCATAGTAGCTGCCAACCTGTCCCAGGGCGCCGCCTCCACCGCCTTCGTCTTTGCCGGCAAATTCCTCATAGCCAGCAGCTTCGCCATCACCTACAACTACTCGGCAGAGCTGTTCCCCACGGTGATACGCAGCTTCGCGATGGGCCTGGGGGCCATGTGCGCCAGGACTTCGGGGGCACTGACCCCCTTGATCACCCTGCTGGACTCCTTCGATCCCAAGATGCCGGCTATAATTTTCGCGGTTATATCTGTTATCTCGGGGGTGTTTGTGATGTTTTTGCCTGAGACGTTGAACAAACCGATGCCTCAGACTATTGAGGAGGGGGAGCGGTTTGGGAAGGGGGATACGTTGTTCAATTCCTGGTGCGGTAAAGGAGGGGAAAAGGAGGATAAGCTGGAGAAGGTAGATGCGGAGCAGCTGCAGCCTTTGAAGTGAGGAAGTCGGAGGGTTTAGTGTGTCCTTTGTGTTCTGAACTTCTGAAAAATAACATCATCGCGTGTCTTGAGATTATTTGTTGGATAAGGCACTATAGTCCCTGTATTTGACATGATGTGCCTACCAAGTGGTTCTGCAATAGGTTTTTTGACTAGTATTTCTACCTGGGCATTGATATACTTCACCAAATCGTTTTTTTCAAGAATAGAGTCTTACTAAATGTTGGCAGCACAATTCATCTCTTGAAGAAGCCAATTATTCAGCTGCTTTGCCATCACCCTGCTCGACTACTACTCCATTGATCCAAATCTGCCTATTATTTTCGTAGTTTGAATACCAATTTGTGTTTTGAACTCAATTTTGAAATAAAAGGAGACCCAATAATTGAATAGATGCACCACACTACTTTGAAGATAGGTTATTTGTAAGCTTCCACCACCTTCGTCTTTGCCGGGGCAAATTCCTCATAGCCAGCAGCTTCGCCATCACCTACAACTACTCGGCAGAGCTGTTTCCCACGGTGATACGCAGCTTCGCGATGGGCCTGGGGGCCATGTGCGCCAGGACTTCGGGGGCACTGACCCCCTTGATCACCCTGCTGGACTCCTTCGATCCCAAGATGCCGGCTATAATTTTCGCGGTTATATCTGTTATCTCGGGGGTGTTTGTGATGTTTTTGCCTGAGACGTTGAACAAACCGATGCCTCAAACTATTGAGGAGGGGGAGCGGTTTGGGAAGGGAGATACGTTGTTCAATTCCTGGTGCGGCAAAGGAGGGGAAAAGGAGGATAAGCTGGAGAAGGTAGATGCGGAGCAGCTGCAGCCTTTGAAGTGAGGAAGTCGGGGGGTTTAGTGTGTCCTTTGTGTTCTGAATTTTTGAGATTATTTGTTTAATGAGGCACTATACTCCCTGTATTTGACATAATGTGCCTACCAAGTGGTTCTGCAATAGGTTTTTTGACTAATATTTCTACCTGGGCACTGATATACTTTACCAAATCTTTGGTTTACAAGAATAGTCTCACTAAATATTGGCAGCACAATTAATCTTTTAAAGAAGAAAATATGGTCTTGGCCAATTCTTCAGCTGCTTTGCCATCGCCCTGCTGGACTACTTACTCCATTGATCCAAATCTGCCTATTATTTTCGTAGTTCGAATACCAATTAGTGTTTTGAACTCTATTTTGAAATAAAAAGAGACCCAGTAAGAAGTAGATACATCATACTACTCTAAAGATAGGTTATTTGTGAGCTTCCACCACCTTCGTCTTTGCCAGAAAGTTTCTCATAGCCAGCAGCTTCAACTCCTGGTGTGGCAAAGGATAGAAAAAGGAGGTTAAGCTGGAGAAGGTCGATGTGGAGCAGCTGCAGCCAAAGAACTGAGGAAGTCGAAGGGTTTAGTGTGTCCTTTGTGTCCCCAACATTTGGAAAATATCATCACGTGTCTTGAGAATTATTTGTTGGACTATACTCCATGTACTTGACTGGTATTTCTACCTGGGCACTAATATACTATTCCTAATCCTTTGTTCTCAAGAATAGATTGTCGCGCTAGATCTTGGAAACACAGTTCAACTTTCAAAGGAGAAAATAATATGGTCTTGGCACAAATTCCTCGGCTGCTTTGCCATCATCTTGCTAGACTGCTCTTTAGATCCCAAGATGCCTATCATTTTCCCAGTTATCTCCATTATTTCGGAGCTGTAGTCATTCTCTTGCCTGGGAGGGGTTTTTTGTGACCTTTTGAATCCGATAATACCAATTTATCTTTTGAACTATATTTTGAAGAAAAAAAAAGCATACCCAATAAGAAGTAGATGCATCATACGACTCTAGATATAGGTTATTTGTAAGCTTCCCCCACCGTCGTCTTTGCTGGTAAGTTCCTCATAGCCAGCAGCTTCGCCATTTTAGAGGGTTTGGTGTCTCTTATCAAATATCAATTTGTGTTCTGACTCTATTTAAAAAAAAATCATCGGGAGATGTTTTTAGTAGAGGACACCCAATAAGGGGTAGATGCATCATACTACTTCTGAGATAGTTTATTTGTAAGAGTTTTAAGAACAGTTAAGGTCCCACTAAATCCTAGCAACACAATGCGACTTTTGAAGAAGAAAAGATGGTTCTTGTTTGTAGTGCTGTAAGTGGAGTTTTTCCACCACAGCTTATTAGCCCGTTAAAAATTATTTTGTATTCAATTATCAATGGTGGGTCAAGATCATTTGATTAAAGATCTGATTCCTTGTCTCAACAAAGGTGCCTTCTGTGTTATCGAAAAAAAAAAGTACTATTTTTATATGAACTGTTGAATAAAACGATGAATATTAACAGTTAACTTTTATTTACATTCAGTTTTTGGCAAATAAATATGGTGTCTTTCGTACATGTAAACATTAAGGTACAAGTGAAATATCCAAAGAGATTCAAGAAAAAAGAGGAGGAATAGCAGCATCAAAAATAACATGACCCTAGTGAGGTCATGTCAGCTAAATTATAGAATGTATTCAGTTTAAATAACATGAAGCAAGAAGATAATATATTTTTTCATGTTTCAAACTGTGTTGATAGTAATTTCTTGAAAAAAAAAAATTGAGCTTATTGTTATGGACAAAAAGCTGCCATTCACATATAGATTGAATACCTTGTTGTTGCTAAGTATGAACATTGAAAAGAACATGCAATGTTACATGTATACTCAAGTATGATAATGTATAGGCACACTCATACACTGAGATAATAGGGCTTTTCAAAGGTCAACTGGTTATCAGAGTGATACCAGAATCCTTTCTGATTGACCGAATTTCAAGGACAATTTTATAAACCAATCAAACTGACATTATACGACCTGATACCAGTTGGTGAAAACCAACTTTCTACTTGAAAAGCCCTAATGAAAAATCAGAAATACACATCAAATTATGGCACTCATAAAAATATAAAAATTTCGATGTACTGGACAGTCTATGGGGTGAAAAATCTATAAATTAACTAAATCAATTCATATCATTCTATTCCAAATCAATCCCAAAATTATTATTATGGAATTATGTATTCTCAAGTGTGAAGAAAACTGGAGCAAAGATCAAAAGATGAGAAGATGAATCACAAAACATTCCATCCACTGATTTCTATCTCAAGTCTTTTGCGGTATAGTAGGTACGCCACTATTAGTTCATGATAAATATTCCGACGCATGCGCAGACAACTAAAACCCAAGGTTACTAATATCTATCAGATGGTATATTGTGATCAATGAGGACATAGAATACTATTTGTGATTCAGTTTCTCCTGAGAGATGCTTGTAAATATCAAGAAATCTAATAGAGAAAACCAGTATCACCTATAAATATTATATTGTTTCAAGCATTTGCAATTTTTTTCAATATTGTTTTTTGAAAATAGAATGCGCGTCATCATCTCCTGTGATGCCTTCATGGAATTCAAAAATGTTAAAGCATACTGGCATTGGAAAATCTAACAACGTCAAATAAACTAAAAACTATATCACAAAAAACGTAGTTATCATTTTCAAATTCTAGATTCAGATCAGATTTTCTAGAAATAAATGTTTTGGCAGGCCTTTGAAATACGAATTCACTGATGACGATTTTTTCAAATGATAATATTATTTGAGCAAATATAGTTGATAATATTCTCCTAATGAAAAAATCATTCTGAAGTGTAATTGAATGGAAGAAATAATAAAATTGCTTATATGAAGCCTCTAGTGCCATCAGTGACTAATAATATTGAAATTTCTCAGAAATTCATGAAGCCCCATTTTTATATCATTTTCTACCCTATTTTGTTGAGAGCTTGAACAAATGTACAGGGTGATTCAAACTTCCCGCCCTTCGATCATAACAGGAAAAGTAAAACTGCAAATGCAAATTCGGCAAAGGGAATTTGAATAGCTGTGTGTAAGGTATATTTTTTCGTATTTAAACATATTTCAACTCTTTTCAAAATGGCGGAAATAACGTCAGAAAAGTTATTTTCTCCACAAAGTCACCATTTTTTCCTCATATTCTGAAAAAACATATCATTTTTAACATCTTTCATCCCAAAACTTTTTTTTTATCTTCATCAAGTTGATAGCTGTGGGATTGCAAATTTGGCGTTTTCAAATAAACCTCAAATGACCCCGCCGTAATAAAAATCAAGTCTGCCGGAAAACAAATTGTTTTGTGAGCAATTTGATAAATTTGATACATTTTGCATTCATTTGGAACCGATTGGAGCTAAAAACTGGCCGGCTTGATAAAAAATATGTTTTTTCAGAATATGAGAGAAAAATTGTGACTGTGGAAAAAATACCTTTTCTGATGTCATTTCCGCCATTTTGAAGAGTTGAAATATGTTTAAATACAAAAAAACATACCTTACACACATCTATTCAAATCCCCTCTGCCGAATTTGCATTTGCAGTTTAACTTTTCCTGTTATGAGCAAAGGGCGGGAAGATTGAATCACCCTGTACATGATTTAGAAATATTATAGCATCAAATTATCATCCACATACAAAATCATTCTCCTTCAATAGTAAAATAATACCTCTCAAAACTATTATGTTTCCCTTGTCATCATTCCACAAAATTGAGTAAAATAATCTTAAATCATCCTTGATATGCATATTCATAATATTATGATAAATAGAAACATCTGTAATAAGTTTCAACAGTTAATTCACATACAATACAGATCATAAGGTTAACAATCATTAAGAACAATGTGAAGTTCATCAATCATGACTTTCCTAGGAAAATTTCGAAATTTTTTCAAGGAATGCAATAAAAAAATAATGTCATCAATATAATGTTTGACAATTTCTCATTTATGAGAGAAAATGGCAAGAGTCAAGAGTCTGCCATCTTTGTTTAATTTGTTTACTAATTTAGCATTTTAGGAATCACTCAATGTTCAAACATCACCAATAGTCCAATAAATAAAGGGAAAAAGTTAACACTCATTAAACTTGAGACAAAGTTGGACTGGAAAACGCGTGCGATGGCGGAGAAAATGGCCCCAAAAGACCAGAAAAATAGGTTTCGAGAAAAACGGCACGAAGCGCACCTCGAATAATGAGCTTCTGTGTTGTATGCCGGAGAGCACAGTCCGTGTATTTACACATCGGCGGGGGGACAAATTATTCAATAGCTTTGTTAACAATGCATATTTTCTCATGATTCAGAGTTCATGTGAAAGAGGAATTCTGCTGCTATCATACCCTGTGAATTGAGTCACGCTTGACTCTTGTGGCCATATCGGAACATGGGTCAAACTTTCTGCTCCCGGTCAATTTTGACCTCGCCAGGAATTTGTTCCTATTTTTTTTGTATTGCACTAATTTACTCGAAATTCTCTTGATTATGGGTCCTCATAAAGTCCTTTGTCATCCCTGAAATTTGTATACCCTAATTTTTTTTAAATTTTCATTTAATCTTTATTTATTGAATTCCAATTTTTTGCTGTTTTTGGAGCGCGGGGAAATTTTGTGAACAACCATCAATTAAAAATTTATTTTATGATACATCATTTTAGAGCTAAGAAGGTCTACTTTTCGATTGTGCAATTACTTTTTTAGACGAAGGCGTCCATTTTTCAATAAAATTAGAAAAATCGGGGTCAAGGAAAAATCGCACTTTTTTTCGGTGGTTTTTTTCTCCGTGCTCTTTATTTCTAACATTTCAACACCTTAACTAGTGTAACGGGGGAATTCCCACCTTTCCATCGATGTATATAAGTCATACCTTTGATATCCCTGGAAAAAACCAGTATATCTAAATGTACACGCTATAATTTATTACTTTCGTTCCTCCGTCGTTCGCCGCGTGTGTGCTCTACGTGGCGCTCGGGTCGTCTGCTACAAACCATGCAGCCACGCAGGGTATGATAGCAGCAGAATTTCTCTTTCACATGAACTTTGAATCATGAGAAAATATGCATTTTTAACAGTTATTGAATAATTTATCCCCCCGCCGATGTGTAAATACACGGACTGTGCTCTCCGGCATACAACACAGAAGCTCATTATTCCAGGTGCGCTTCGTGCCGTTTTTCTCGAAACCGGGCAAATTTTCGAGAAAAATGATAGGGACTATTTTTGTAGAAAATTAACTGAACCTCAATTTTTATCTGAATCGAAAATCTCTAACTGCCATATTTTTGGAGATATTGGCTGAAAAATCTGGTCTTTTGGGGCCATTTTCTCCGCCATCGCACGCGTTTTCCAGTCAAACTTTGTCTCATGTTTAATGAGGTACCAAAAGCTACTTCCAACCGGAAGATGAAAATAGTGCGTAATTAACCTTAACTTTGCCTTTTTTTTCCTCCTTCATTTATTGGACTACAATTATTGATCAATTGATCATGCACAGTATTATTTCCAAGGAAAATTTTCAGGCAGGTAGTTGATTTTTTTTTAATTTTTTTGCACTTGTTCTGCTATCATCTCAATAGAAATTGAGATGACAATAAATACAGTTCTTACCACTGACACTTTTTTCTACCAGCATTTGGGCTATAATATGCATAAAGATCAAATGCATGTTTGAAGTCTCTTTCAAGTCTTTCATCACAAAGGATGATCATTCATCAAAATCCCTTGAAGGTTCAGGCACAACTTTTCAAAAATAAAAAATGTGAATGCCAATAACTTTTCCAAGTTGAAAAGAGGACACACAATATATTACACAAGTATTCTCAATCTTAAGTTCTGCTTTTCTTGGCAGGATATTGATTTTTCCAAAATACAAGACAAAATTCATGTGGTTCTAAATTGAGATATCTGGGTTTCTGATATATTTTTCAAAAAACTAATAAGTTAGCTATTTCAAGAGAGCAATCTCATAGAAACCAAAAAAATGCTATCAAGGACCTTGTCACATTACCTGTTTATGGAAAACATCAATTTGGGACTATAAAAAGCAATGCCTAAAAAGAAATACTAATTCAAATTCTGATTTGATAGGGAAAAATTCAATAGTATTTATTGATGATAACTTAGAAGCCAGCTATCCATATCTAAAACCTAAAAATACTTAATTTTGGTGCTAACCTTACCTAACCAAGACCAAAAAAGTTATTATATTGTTTATTGCCTCTTCATTTGAGGCTCACATATGTTTCCTACTATGAATACCTAGATGGCTTTAGAAAAACACAGAAAATTGTATCTATAATTCATTTGACAAAAGTTATTGGCATTTTCAAGGTTATGTTGAGTGAGTTTAATGTGTATGAAAAGGGAAACTGACTTGTTCATTAATTTTCTTGACTCCCTTGTAGCCAGAAACTTTTTTGCAATGAACATATCAAAAATGTGTGGCCTTTTCAACTGATTCCATAGATCATGGTTACTCACATTGTTTTGAAAACCAATCCACATCACAAACCACAAAATAGGAAAAAAATAGGTCCAACAACATCAGATTCACATATTCCCATATCACTATCTACTTATTTACATACCATACAGGAGTACAAAATTAACTTCTTTCTGGGCAAACTGTATGAACAACCTGTGGTTTGATCTCTTCATTTTTCTTTGCCCCCAAAACTGTATGGACCACAATAGCAGGTTGGCCTGGAGAAGGAGGATGGAGTTCATGAGTACCTACAACAAAACACATCGAAAAAATGTATCTTTCCCCCCAAAAAAATGGTTCCCGAGCTTACCTCCTGGAGTGAGAGTGGCCAGAGCAGCAAGCAGATCATGGTTGATAATGGGTTCCCCCTCTGGCCTAGGCTCCCAGTCCAAGGGAGGGGAAGCAGGTGGTGAAATGAGGAACTGTTTGTAGGGAGCTGGAGGCTGCAAATTTGGGTTCTTCACAGGTGTCACTGGCTGGGCAAAATAGCATGTGATTACAGAATTGCTGGTCTTGTATTGGTGGAGTTGGATGCGAGCACTGGCAGCTGCAAATGGAGTCTGGAAGTTTACACGTACTCTTCTGAAGCTTTTCAACCATTGGAATGTCACATCTGGGTCATATGCTCGGAATAATTCTTCTAATTCACATTTCTTTTCTGAAATTCATACAAAAATATCAGAAATCAAGTGTCCTAATGAATTCAATTACATTGAGTCACAGATTATGTTGGTTTTCAAATACCTTGAGTGGTGAAAACACTGTCATGAAGGTTGGTAACTATCAGTGAGGCAGGTAAATCTTCAAATTCATCATCAGTGTGATTTTCAGGGCTTTCAATGTCTGCTTCAGGTATCAAATTGGGGTGCACATTTGGAAGGCCGTCCTGATCATTGATTATAATGTCCTCATCGCTGAGTTCTCCGTTACTTTCTGCCATAGTTTCGAAGCTATTTCCTTGAATTCCGACAAAAATGGGGCTTTGAGACAAGAAAATAGATAGACCACCTATGTAGCTATGTATCACTTATGAACGAGTGGAATATCGAACTTTGAAATACACTATAGAGGAGAGATGCTCAATAGAATTCACAACAGCTTATGAAATTATGATGCATATTAATAAACAATAATATTTCCAATATTTCCCAATTATTATTATTTACCAAATTGCGTTTTCCAAAAATCACAAACTTCAAACTCGACCCACACACATCACAGAAGCACAGAACAATGTAAACAGAGAAAGTCCATAGAAAATAAAACAAGTTCAGTAAGTAGAGCAAGCACAAGCGAACAGCAGGCAACAACACAACACCAAAACCATAACAGTCACAAAAAACAGAATCACATCTCACGTCACTCATCAGTCACATCACAAAAATCACAAATTCACATTTCACAAACACACAGATGGCAGGACCAAAAGAAACGACGTGATTGTGACTAACAACCCGAGCCCCGGACATATTAAGTGCCTCAGTGATGAAATTTTCGGATAGCCCTTCACCACGTTTCTTATTCTCAATGTGGAGTGTGGACCAATTCTCACATTGAACAGAGAATGATATATCATAGGAAGAGGCCATCAAATGACACGAAAAGAAGAAGTATATTCATCAGTTCTACCAACTTTGACCTTACGTTTCAGTGGCGCGATGTGGTGGGCAATAATAGCGAATTCCATTCGCAGGAACTGGTGAAGTGGTTTTGTACTCAATGTCTATGTTTCCTTCTTACTCGCATGTAATGCACAGTCACTGGAGAAACACTCCCCCTGTTCTTGCCATCATTGCTGACGTCATGACCAGGCGCCTTTGAAGAATGATCAATAAACTCAATATGGTGTTCATATTGAGTTCATTGAGGATGATGGATGGTCGGGAAGTACCCTTTTTTTTTAGTTTCTATCAGAGATTAGTCAACCACGTTGACTAATCTCTGGTTTCTGTACGGTTGATCATTTAAAAGTACGACAGACGTAGCAGTATAGTCGGCCTAATAATGTCAATGTCAATTTGAAATTTTTGTGGTTAGGTTCATGTTCATTCAAATCATGAAAAAATCATATTTACATTATCATTTTACGTTGTTGTGGTTGTAAATACGTTTTGAAATTTGAAATAATATTAGTAGATTTAACCAATATACTATGGCATTCAGTTTTGGCAATACTCAGACAAAAAGTAAGTAGATTTTTTCTTGCCCGAATTCTTAAATTGCACCACTGTGGTCAGGGAAAAACTTTGAAATATTTTTGTATAATAAAGAATATTGGTAGGACACTTTTCATTCATGTTTCGTTATTTTAATTGTACGAAAATATTTCAACTGGACAGTACTAGGTAGGTACTCAGATAAAGCACTATAATATTATGTATAAATAATCAACAATACTACTTTGGCTTGGTAGAAAAAAAAAATAACATAAAAATACAATCATAAACATACAGAAATACGACATGAATTGCTCGAGTAAATTACATTTTGATATTGATCATTGTATCTGATGTGGTTTCTGGGGATTTGGTACTGGACTCACTATAATCCTTCAGCTGAGAAACATAATATTCTCCAGTTATCTCATGTTCTCCCTTGCACTTTCCGCAACATAAGTAGATTCCAATAAATACTACAATCAATACTGCCAAAATCACACCCAGTAGGATATAAATTATAACATCTCTATCCATATCCAGTAAGCTAGAGGGTTCTTTGTTATTTTCTGAAGTAATATTACTTGTAATTGTACTGAATATCTCTGTGACTGTTTCACTAGCAGTTGTTGTATAGTTTGTGGTGTTACCCAAGTCATACATTGGATTTTGCATATCTTTTATAGTTGCTACAGTACTGAATTCAAAAGGTTTTGTAGTTGTAGCATCTGATATCATGGGTGTAGTTGTGAGAGTAGTGTACATATCTTTCATTAACTCAGTTTTATTGTAGAATTCAAAGAAGGTTTTCTCTTTGCTAATAACTTGTTCCAGCAGTGGTTTTTCAGTTGCAAATGTAGATTCAAAAAGGACTTCAAGGGTTCTGTTTGTACTCAATTGTAAAGTAGAAGCTTCTGTTACAGTTGTTTCCAATGAATTTTTCATTGCATCAGAATCAAAAAGAAGTGTTTTTTCAGTAGGAATATTTGTCAACCAATCCCTTATAGTTTTTACAGTTGATTTTGTAGAGGTGTCGGAGAATGGCTTTTCTGTTGACATATTTCTGAATATGTTTTTAATGGTGTCATACTCTGTTACCTCATAAGACTTCAAAGGTTTTTCTGTATTTTCTGGCACAAGAATTGGCTTTTGTGGGGGCAATATGCTCGTGAACATATAGTTGATTGTTTCAGTGATTGTTGGTTCTTCAGTAGTAGCTGCTCTGCTTGTTTTGGTTATCGTTTCCATTACATCTTCTATGGTGCTATTCAAATTCAAATTTTCTTGGGGTACCACTTTGGTAACCATGTGTTCCATAGTATCAACAGTACTGCTCATACTCATAGTTGGTGCTTCTGTAGAAGTGCTGTTATTGAACCCAATTGTGTTTTTTCCTAAGTTCAACAGGGTGTTTATAAAGTTTTTCGTGGTTGTTTCAAAACCGGGGGCTTCATTGAATGATTCTTTCCTGTTTTCTGTGAGGATGGTGTCCGCAGTAGTTGAAATTATTGATTTTGTGGTAGAGAGAACATTTTCTGCGAGGATACTACCAATTGACGGATTTGATGTTTCATCCGTGGGTTTGGAAACATTATGGGGCCACTGGAAGTCGATTTCCTGAGAAAAATAACCATTATCAGAGATACTTTACTTATGACGAAATAGACCAATAGACGGGTGAATTAAATTTCAATGTTCATGAAATTGAAATATAGAGGTAGCATGAATGCAAGTAAATATTCATTGATCCATTCCAATGCTGCAACCGAGGCTGCAACATCATGATCACACTATTATTCTAGTAGATTATAGGTTCAGCATGAATTTTTTTTAATTTTCATTTTTGTTTGTTTTCAGAATTTCAGACAAAAATATTCATTAAAAACAAAATAGCGGATGATAATGTTTCAAATCTCTTATCAGAATTCTGTTAGCTAAATGGCTATTTATTGTGAATAGCCTTGACCATTTATCGACGAGGTAAAATGAAAAAACAATTTGAATTACACACCAACTGGCCATTAACCTTACGAGAGGTCCTTCAGCCCATGTGTGTTATGTGTAGGCTTTGTTACTAACTCCACACGCAGCACTGTTAATTAGAACGCGACAGCGAATCGTGCGGAATCATCTCCGACAGAGGCTACGAAAATTAGATCTTATAACTCGTTTTATGAATAAAAATTCTCTGCTCTGCTGGGGATTCGAACCTAGCAACCTTTCGAAATTATTATTACTAGTCAAGCGCCTCCACCACTGCGCTATTCCGCTATCTTTTGCAATATTTGTTTAATATAATCCTACTTTCTGGTATTTTTCCTCTACGGGAAAATAGTTAATCATCATACAAGTGGAAAAAGTAGTAGATTTTAGCTCCAGGTTGTGTGAGCTAAAATCTAATATCTTTCCCGTGTATAATACACTATTTTTTTCTGTGACAGAAGAAAGGACAAATCAATATTGAGAAGATATCACAAAATTTTGAAATCTGAAAATTATCGACGTGAAATTTTAAGTCTTCAACAGTAGGGACACCTGCGTTGTAGGCATCTTTATCATTCTTTTGAAGTAATCAAATATCTGATGTCAGTTCTGTCAGTCTAATTCTGTGATTTGATTTCAAAAAATTGCGAATTTAGTGGTTGTTTAGTAATATACGTAACCGCGAAGTCGAATGGAAGATAAAAGGACTTCAGTTCTTTCTCGGAGACGGTATTATTGACTCATTTTTCGGAACTATAGCACAACAAAGGTCATCAACAGTATATATATATATATGTGATATATCCGGGAAAAAAGTACTCACTTTTTTCCCACGGCAAAAAAGTAATTGATGAAAAGTGACATTTTATAACCTGCCAACAGAGATGAAATGCCATACTTTTTTCCCGTCACAGAAAAAACTATTTTTATTGAAAAACTGGCAGAAATGTCAAAAAATGCCATCTTTGTTGCCATGGCATTTCTGTTGAAATGGGTGATAGATCTCATCATTTCACCGATCTCGATCAGTAGCGGATCTACAGGTGGTCAAAGTTTAATTATTTTTTTCTATTAATTAAAATATCTCGCTCACTTTTGAAGGTTGGAATTTGGTACATTTTATTGCAGTAAGGCAATCATAGTAGGCAAAATTAACATGTTATTGCGCGGATATGCTCATTCATCTCGAAAACGGTGCTTTTTTCGAAAAAATTTGGATGCAGATACAGTCTTTAAATTGAACGATCCACACATTTTGGTAACTGTTAGATGTCAGAGGCGTACTACGAAAAAGTTTGGGGAAATAAAAAAACCACTACCCTCAAAAGCGTATCACCCTGTGGATTTTAAAAATCTTTGAAATGCTTCATATGATGATCTTCTAGATAGTATTGAACACACCAAAATTCAAATTGATATCTTCAGAAGTCAGCGAGATATTTCAATTGATAGAAAAAAAATCATTACATTTTGACCCCCTGTTACTCCGCTACTGATCAAGATCGAACTCATATTTATACATAGTTTTTTGATCAAAATGATGAGATCTATCACCCATTTCAGTTTGTACCTCAAAACCTGAATCAGTCTGTATACAGGGTGTCCCAAAATTAGGCTGCCAAACTTCACCAGTGGCTTTTACGACCAAAAATAGGAAGAAAACTTCCAATGAAGATGAATCAAGAAATGCCTCCTTAGGGAGCTATGTCCTCCCGAAACTGGGCTCCTGAATATGATAAATCTTGAGTATTTCCGAAACTCCATGTAATGAAAAGATGCGATTTAGTACAAGAACTAAAATGTCCATGCCCAATGCAATGAAAATGAAATCATTTCAAAATTTCAATCAGGAGTGTATAAATAGAGTAGGCCCTGGTATAATACAGGGTGGGACTACATTAAATATTGCTCAAAATTTTTTGTATGCGTATTTGTCGACAATTTAATCTCGGATTATGAAATTTTGCACCTCTTTACACAGAAAAGATAATCTTGTTCCGTGACGATCAGATGTATTATTATGGAGTAAAAGCAGTTTAAAATAGTTATTTATGTATTAAGGGAATTATGAGGGCCTTAATTACCGATGGCAAAGTTTGCGTCCCGAGGGCCTCTGGCCCGAGGGACAGCAATTGCCAGAGGTTATTGAGGCTCAGTAATTCCCGTGATACATAGATAATTTTATTTCTGACTGATTTCATTCATTAGATACCTTCCCGATTGGAAGTTAGACATGTTTTTCCGTATAGCTTCAATGTCATCAGAACGTCAGATGATGATCTTGACCACCGCGAATAGTGAATAGACATAATGACAATTTACTTAAAAGTCAAAAATCAAACTATTCTCATTTCAAAAAAAATATATATGCGTATCCAATAAAACGAAGGTGAAAACATTCATAGGGATAAAAAGTGGCGTAATTAGTTTAATAAAAAAAGGTGTTCATGAAAAGTAAATACTCACTTGATTTTTGAAGGAATTCATATTTTGCAGATTGCAGAAACCGAACAAAACAGTTAAAAACAAAACAATTATTGTGATCAACAGGTGCTGCAGACACCTACAACAGCTTTATCAAGAGGCTATCTGAAAACAAATCCCCCCGTTGGATTCTTTTTATTCTAGTGGGCGTGTTCAAACAGTCGCGGGATTGTTGATCGTTTTGCTTTTGTTTATTAAACGTTCGAATGTTTTTAGTCATTCCCTGAGGACTATCCAGGTTTACGATTTCTCAGAATCACTGATTTTACACGGATGCATTGGTTTCTTTTGTCAACAACCAATTGGGAAAATCATAATTTATAATAATATTTACTTTGAATACTGATAATTATTGTTTAAGCAAAAGAAGTTCACTTGAGAAGAAACGTATTTTTTACCACACTCACATGACGAAAATCTTTGAATTATCACTTGCTGTATACGCGGTAGGATTTTTAATTGAGATTTCTGTTGTTTTGTTCCTTCAATTATCAATTTCAATGGCAAGGTAGTCAAGTGAAAATTCAGAACAGTTAAAGAATTATTATTAGTATCACCCAGGGACCAATATTATATCCAGAGGCTTCACTCTTCTTCACTACCAACGTCTATATTAAATTTTGTTCACCAGTAGCAATACAATACATTTCAATCATTTCAGTTCTGTGAAAATGAAATATGGACCTATTGTCACTATGAAAGCACTTATTTTCAATTCTAATTAAAATCTAGTAGCCATGACTATGACAGCTTATGACAAAAGAAATGACATTAAATATTGATTTTTAATGACACTTAACAGACAGAAAAGGTATACTATTACTGCCTAGGCAGAAAAAGTTTGTTGCTATGCAACGGTCCAAGTAATTTGAATCAAATTGGTAATAAAAATTGACAATGACTTAGAGTGAACAAAAAATGATGAATTATTTGGACTTTGCGTGAAATTGAAAAAGGATTTGGAGAAAAAATTATACGGGGTGTCCCAGAACAACGTACATTAAATTCAACAGGGTGAACTAGAGTTCAAAATAGGTCGATTGGGACCAACTTACCTCTATACGAAAATGCACCGTTGGGCCGTGAGAGGGCAATGAATGGAATTTTTTTTTTCAGATTTTATTGAATATTTCAAAATCCTTGAGAGGTAATGATCTGAAATTTGGAAGGCAGTCAACTATAAGAAGTGTGCATAGATAACAGGTCTCATAAGTGCAATCGATATACAGGGAGATACAAATTTAGCAAATTAAGGATAAATCATGGTTCGAGTTATTCCACCACCATCAAGGAGGCTTTGAAAAAATGTTCACCTCTTTATTATTTTTTTAAAGACAGATGTATTACCTACCAACGAATAAAAAAATCGGCTTACTATTTTTATATATTTTTTTAAGAAGATAGGTCAAATATCAAGTGCGTCACTTTTTTTGGAACTGAGTGTAGTTCAAAATCTAATAAATATCTCCGAAAATTCTTATCGTATCAACTAAAATTCCGATTGAAAAAATATTGAATTATTCTTCTCAGTAGCCTTCCTGTAATGTCGAATGTTATTTTTCCAGAATGCGGAGAAACTCATGGTCATGATTTAATAGCCAAATTGCATTGCTAATACATGACGTTTAACTTTTATCTGGAGCTGATAAGACTAATACCTCAACACCTAATTGCGAATAATTCAATTTTACGCGTTTTATAGCGTTCCTATTATGACCGGAAGTCACGGTTTTCAATTTTCCCATACACAAATATCATGTTTTAGGGAAAAAACTGTATGTTTCAACTAGCTGACCCAGCAAACGTTATTGTTTTGCTATACAGGGTGTTATTCAAGTACGTGGCCAAACTTGAAGGGGTGATTCTTTGAGTGATTCTAAGACGAAAAGTTCATATAAACATAGGTCCGGTAATGCTTCGTTTCCAAGATACAGGGTGTCAACATTTTTAAAAGAAATCGTTTTTTCGTAAATATCTTAATAACCCTTCAACCGATTTTATTGAAATTTGGCAGTGTTATTCAAGGTCGTGAAGGGCTAATTTAACCCTATATATATCAAAATAATCATGTCCAGTGGCGTCCCGGGAGGCACTGTAACCAATATTTTTGACAGAAAAAATGTGCGCCACTGATTTTTTTGCAATTTTTGTATTCGTTTCACATTGAGCAACTAAAATTACAACTTTTTTATATCTAGAATTTTTTTCGTATCTTGCTTTGTTTTTGAGAAAAAACATAAAAATCACTTCATTGCACATCCCTGTGACAACACAATAAAACATTTCAACTACTAAACCATAAAAAACTGGGGTCTTACTAATATTTTTTCATATTAATACTCTTTTCTAGTCTTGGAATTTTCTATCTAAATTAATGCAATGAAAAAACAAAAAATATGTATGTATGAATTGCAGCACTTGCCTTCGGCTCGTCACAGGGATGTGCAATGAAGTGATTTTTATATTTTTTCTAATAAACAAAGCAATATACGAAAAAAATTCTAGATATAAAAAAGTTGTGATTTTAGTTTCTCAATGTGAAACAAATACAAAAATGTCAAAAAAATCAGTGGCGCACATTTTTTCAGTCAAAAATATTGGTTACAGTGCCTTCCGGGACGCCACTGGACATGATAATTTTGATATAGTTAGGGTTAAATTAGCCCTTCACGACCTTGCATAACACTGCCAAATTTCAATAAAATCGGTTGAAGGGTTATTAAGATATTTACGAAAAAAACGATTTCTTTTAAACATTTTGACACCCTGTATCTTGAAAACGAAGCATTACCGGACCTATGTTTATATGAACTTTTCGTCTTAGAATCACTCAAAGAATCACCTCTTCAAGTTTGGCCACGTACTTAAATAACACCCTGTATATACATTATTTCTAGAAAATATTCCTTCATATATCTATAAAAGCGTGTTCAAACTACTATTTTCTACTCATTTTTAGTTCACTTGAATTTCCCAATTTTGATTAATACAACTAATGTTCATATTGAAAACTCAAGTAAACCGTTTCTCACACACATCAGCACACAGTAACTTTGAAAATCGTCTCGATTGATGAAGAGCTGTCGAACATAAACAGAATGACAGACAAGCACCTGCCAAAGATTTCAAGGAGATAATGTACTGATGCTTCATGTGATCATTATAATATTGACACAGCTTTTGGGGAAATGGAATGAAAATATGAGATGATAATGAAAAATGTTATGTATGGACAATATTTCCTCATAGGAATTTCCTTTCATGCACTTCAAGAGATAAAAAAAGATATGGGTCATAATAAAAAAAATCTCAATTTCAATTTCATTAATTTTTGGTAGACCTAGAAAAGGATAATATACTGTGCCTAGAGAGATCTTCCTATAGAAGTTACAACGATAAAAATTCGCATTTAAGTTTTCGATGTGTTCCTCCACCGGTTATATCAACTCTTTAGATTTCGATACAGGATGAATCGAAAAATTAAAAATATCAAAATTTGCCATTGAATAACTAACACCCTATGAGATATTGCGTTCAAATTTTGTATGGAAGTATTTCAGCTGTTGCTGATTCAAATAGACTAGTCACTAAAAATCTGAATATTCCACATTTTCGACTACAGCTCGTTGAGTACTATGCTCGGTACTTTTTATTTCAATTTTAAATGTGTTTGTCAACCTAATATTTTATATATAATTTCTTCAATTGTACTTATTTTGTTTGTTATTTGGTTCATGTTATTTTATTCAGATACTTGATGTTTCATCTTCTACATATCATGTATTTTTGTTTTATAGTGATTGAGGGTAAAGTTTATTAGTTTAATTTTTATTTTTAAGCACTATTGCTATTGTAATTATGACTTGCCGTACATGTAATTTACATATCATGCTCAAATAAAATACTCTACTCTACTCTATATACACACTGTATATTAAAAATCGTGTCTTTTAGATTATATCCCTCTATGAACGAAAAAGATGAACTTTTTCGTCAAATTTTAGCTCCAGGATTTGGTACTGCTTTTGGCGCCACTCCCGCCACTACCGCCTCCACTGCATTCGGAGGCTTCGGTACCACCTTCGGCTCCGCCACCAGCCAACCGGCCCCAGCATTCGGTACCTCTTTCGGCGCCCCCACTTCAGCCCCCCCAGCGTTCGGTACTACCTTTGGGGCCCCGGCAGCCTCGGCCGCCCCCGCCTTTGGTAGTACCTTCGGAGCCCCAGCAGCGTCTGCCGCGCCAGCTTTTGGTAGGTACTATAGTTTATGTATCATTTCATTCAGTAACATCATCAAACAACAAGATTGTATCAGATGCTTGAACATTCTTGAACCATCTAGAAAATCTTAGACGACATACTAAATCATTCTTGAATCTCCTTGTATATTTACGACAATCTCGGAACATTCAGGAAAATTGTAGAACACGCTGAATCATTCTTCAACATCCTGAAATATATTCAAACCTTCTTGAAGGTCCTAGGACATTTTCTATCTCTATAAGATTTTATGGGGCATTTTTGAACATTGTGTGCAACATTCTCGAATATTCTAGATCTCTTTAGAATATTTCATGGAGTAATTTAAAATATTCTCGAACATCCTGAAATACTCTGGAAGATTCCATAGCATTCTGGAATGTTCTTCCTAGTAGATTTTATAGGAGTAACTAAATCATTCTCGAACATCCTTGGATATTTAGGACGCTTTCTGAACATTGAGGAAGATTTCATAACACTCTGAATCATTCTAGAGCATTACTGAGCATCCTCATTTTTTCTTAAACCTTGACAACATCACTTGATATCTATAAAAGGTTTTATGGGGCGTTCTAAAACATTCCGGAACATTCTTCAACATCCTGAAATATTCTCAAAATTTCTAGAAGATCATAGGGGACATCCTAAATCATTCTCAAATGGAATGGAATTTTCAAAACAAACTTGGAACATTCAGGATGATTCTTGAACACTCTGAATAATTTGAAAGCATTATTGAATATCCTGAAATATTCTCAAACTTTCTGATAGATTTTATAACAGTCTGACACATTCCAGAACATTCTAGATTTTTCGGGAATATTTTATGGGGCATACTAAAACATTGTAAAGAATTCTCGAACATCCTGAAATATTCTCAAACCTTCTGGAAGATGGTATTGGACATACTATAGCATTCTTGAACATGATGTAATGTTTAGAATAATTTTGGAACATTCTGAAAGAATCTGGAACACTTTTTTTACATTCTTGAACATACTGAAACAATCTCAGATCTTCTGGAAAATTCTATAATATTTCGGAATACTCTAGAAAATCACCGATCGTCTAGAAGATTTTTGGGGCATTCTGAAACACTCTAGAGCACTCTGGAGTATTTAAGAACATTCTTGAAACTTCTAGAATATTTTATGGGATACACTCGATCATCCTGGAAGGTTACTCCCGTATTGATATCGATACATTTTCAAAATGAATTATCATTCTCAACAGGTACCAGCTTCGGAGCACCAGCAGCCTCAGCTGCGCCAGCTTTCGGCAGTACCTTCGGAGCCCCGGCAGCCTCAGCTGCGCCAGCTTTTGGTAGTACCTTCGGAGCCCCGACAGCTTCAGCTGCGCCTGCATTTGGCTCCAGCTTCGGTACTCCGACAGCTTCGGTTGCGCCTGCTTTCGGTAGTACTTTCGGGACTCCGGCTTCGTCAGCGGCGCCAGGCTTCGGTAGTACCGGCACCGGTCTGTTTGGAGGGGCGACTTCCACTCCTAGTCTGTTCGGGGGTACGGCAGGTGGTACCGGGGGGTTATTTGGTTCTGCTGCCACCACTCAAACCACTGGGCTGTTTGGTACGTGAATCATGGTTTTGATTAAAAATGAATTCTTGAAACAAACTGATGGGGAAAATTTGGTTTGGTTCGATGATGAATTGAAGTAGGGCAAACATATAAAAATATTGACGAAACAATAGTTATTTATTATACAAGGGAAAAAAGTAGTAGATTAAAGCTTGAGGTTGTGTTGTGTTCCGACGCGTAGCGGATATACACAGTTGATGGCTTTTGTTGTGCTTAAGATGCCTAGAGACTGGTGTAACGAGTCCCCTATTCCATATTATTCCCAAAACCTGTACGACGAAATCGGCAAACAGCCACCTTGATGGCAAGCGAGAAGAACATTTCTGAAACCGCCACGAGTAGCGCTGCTCCTCATGTCCAGCAGGCACAAAATGCAGAGTTGCCGGTTGGCAAAAAAATTACCTAAATCCAAGATTTATTCTCCATAATTTTCACATTACTAGAAAATCTGCTATATACAAAGAGAAGAAATTGCCAATGACACATGATGGAAAAACGGATTTATAACTTTGACTTGTTTTTTATTATATTACATCCAGGCGTGATGGAGTATTTTGAAGTATCATAATTTTCGCAATGTCAGTCATTTCTATCTGATGGAATAAGATGTTATACGCAAATCACGATACATATTATGATGTAATTACTATCTAGGCCGCTATATGCCATATTCCAGAACCCGAAAGTCTCGAGTGAATTGCTCGCCAGAAATCGCTTCTTGGTCAATTCTTAGGAACCTCTAAACTGTCGTTCATGAAAAAGAGCGTTGAAAATCATATGAGTAAGAGTAAGTAGTAAGATAGGTACATGACCGGTCCTAAATGCGCATGTTCCATGTTTTCCAGTTAAATTTCGTGAGAGGCATAGCTTATAGTGGCGTTTTATTTGTACCATTCTGTTAGCGGTAATGGAAACAGAATGACGTTTACAAATAAAAAGAGTAACTTCATGCCATCCTTTTCATGACCTTGCATGAGAGAATTGACATATAATGATAAGAATAGAAGATAAAGGATTTATTTATATATTTGGTCTCCGAATAATTTCAAAATCCCAATACTATTGTTGAGAATCTAGAAAATGAATCGACGAATATTTGAAGCAGTGATTGTGGTAATGGAAGAAACTTCTCTGAGTTCTGTGAAGATGCTCATGCTTCTGATAATTTCGGATTCAGGCTGTTTATTTTTTGCAAACCAAATGAATTCTATGATTTTGCACCAGTCGATTATAGCAGATTCATGCTCTTGCGTTCATACTGTAAATGCTGTGTCTCACGGTCCAACAAATTGATCAAACTACAGATCTGTGATGTCATCATCAGTGACGTCAAGTCAAACAGCAGCGGAAATTAAGAATTTGTTCTAAATATTTGTCATGTTGGATCAAACAATAAGGTTAGGATGTTTGTTTTCATGGTTCCTTCATTGATAATCATTTTATATCTTAGGAATCAACAAGAAATATACTATCATTAATATTATCAATACTTCTAAAATGCATGTTCTGGTAATTGGACTGAGGACAACTTCGGATAATTATAAGAATATTCTCGTCTTGCCTCAATCCCTTGGTTGATTAGATACTTTGTCATGATCTCAGCTCATTTCTGGAGGTATACGTACACGCGCATATATATGGATTGATAAAAATCTGAAACATCTCCCATCAATCTTTAGGTAGTCTTGAAATCAACTATGGAATATCTTCCAGTCTGACTTCATGAAAAATCAGGACTCCTCTTCGAATATTTCTTCTTTGAAGCCATTATATCTTATTGTATATATATCTCCCTCTTTTTTTAATCACTTCGCATTACAAATACAACACAAAATACTTACCATATAATGAGTTTTTGTTTAATTTTTTCTTGTGATTTTTCCCATTTCAGAGAACCTACTTAACCAATATTTTTGTTCAAAAATCTACAGATCGTGTGACAACGATTTCTTGACATTTCGAACGATTTGAGTCAAACAGGCAAGAATTACGTCACCTTGAACAAATTTGATCAAATTGTTGGATCGTGATCGAGACACGACCTGTACAAACAAAATTGGGTCACGATTTTTCCTCTGCATGAAATTACCATAAAACTACAACTGGCAACGCTGGTTTGGTAAAGTTTGGTTTGACCAGGAAACGATCGACATTCCAAAATGGTGGTTTCGGCCTTTTCGGGTTTTTGTTTATAGTTCTCTCGAATCTCTAGTTACAGATAATTTGGTCCTATTTTAACTTGAATGAATTAATATAAGAACTTTGAAGTGTTCATGAGTGTTTTTCGTTTGTGAAGTGAATTTTGCGACTACAAAATGCATTCATTATACAACTGAACACCACTCACAAGCCAGGACTGCCAGGCCAGGAGAAAACAGTTTCAAATGTAGAATGTATTTCACGTAAGTATTGAATAATTAATTGTTTATTCTTTCCTTTCACATATTTCACAAATGGTATTTTTATAGTATTATCTGGCATTGAATTAATTGCTAAAATTGCTTGCACATTTTACACATGAATACCTACAATGTGAAAATTCAAAACCTAATATATCTGTGGCACATTATTCTGTAATCTGTATTTGGAATAGGCCTGTAATAATTATTTCATCAAATTAGAATGTTGGATATTCAATAATATTTTTTGTCTAGTACTTATCTTGTTTCTTCTACTCATTTTTGTCCTGATCTGTGCTCTTTGAAATTATCTTGTGGATTGAATAGATTTTCTCATAAATTATTTTATTGTATGAAATATTGCATGCCTTTATTTTCAGGTTATTTTGGGGACATTCTATGAGGAGGAGAAAGTTGAAACACCTCTACTCACATTGATCACTGCAATTGGGAGCCCTGAGTATTCAAGTGATATTATGCACTCAAAGATTATCATAGCCTGGATTTACCCTTCAAAAATCTCCTTCATGAAAAAATATCTTGGAACCTATGCCCCTTGGCCTGCATAATGCTGAAACACTAGCTGAAACACGTCTACCAGAGCAGGGTCTCACAGAGTATTTTCCTGTTTTTTGGCATGATACTGCCATGATCAACACAACCAATGAACTCCAGACTATTTTAGGGTAGGTATGTATGTAACTTTTTATATTTTTAGCTAATAATTTCCTTGCATGTCTGGATTCAAAAGTTTTTGATTTTTTCTGTACCCTCCTCCCCTGTAGGACAGTTTCTCTTGTTTTGTCATCATGAAATTTTGTAAACAGTGTTTTTTTTGTGACAAATCTTGATTTATACAAAAATATTTTCAACTCATTAAAATCAAGGAAACTTCTTTGATTATTCCTTGACCCTACTACAGTGTAGTCTCAATTACCACAAAAATTAACTCAACTCATGAATATACATGATATAGTGCCTTTTAGGAGACCTACAAACTTTTTCCTGTATATTTATGACAAGGTAATAGAAAATTAGATTATTTATCCATTATTCATCCATGGATTTGTCCTCCAAAAATACCTAGTATCTATAAGATATTACAATCTAGAGAGGCTAGGGACAAAAATCAAAAATATCTAGGTTATCTGATCATTTTTGCTCCTCTGGTACCATGGTGATGAACATCTGAATGAGTTGTTAATAATGGAGATTTTTTGTGAATTTCATTTACCCTGTGAAGAGTGACAGGAGAGTGAAGATTTTGAGTTTATTTAAAAGATGTCTGCAAGATTCCCTATGATTTGCATTAAATTCTGTTACTCAAGCATTTTTGATTGGTGATTACACTCAAAAATTTTTTTCTTGGTCAAAGTAAACTTGACATTTTTTATACTTTTTGTTTGGTTCCCTCCAGAAAATCCAACTCATAAAACTGACAGAAAACTCCTAATCATCCTAAAAACATTTTTTTTTCTTTAATTTTCAGGAAATGAAATTCTCATCTAAATGTTAAGTTTAGTTTAACAAAAAAAAGCTCTTTATAAGTGAAAATAAGAGGATTTAGCATCCAAAAATACCCAGTCTGAAAGAGTTTATCAAAAACCATGAGTGAAGGGAGCAAGGAAAAGAAGTTGAAAACTTGATGTTGTTTGATGGTGTAAATAGACAGTTATCCAGATCACGTGTCCACCATTGGTAACTGTCATTATTGAAGATACAAAATCATTCAAATTTTGCAAACTGGCAGTATTTTTAACATACTCCAAGATCAAAGAACAAAAAAAGCAATAATTGAGCATCTCTGTTCTTTTTTAGTTTGAATGGAAAATACAATTTTTCACATGGAACCTCAGTCCCCCTTTTTTTTGTTATCATTCAAGTTTTAGAAAAAAAATATGAGAAAAATGTTTTCAACAAAAAAGTACTGATAATAATGGTGATTGTGGTAGTAATTTTGCACTCATTAAGAGGGAAACAGATTATACCATTATCTAACATAATTTTTTCTGTTGTAGAATTGTGCATTAATGTTTAGCTGAAGATGACTAGCAAAAAGGGCCCATGGGGATCCACTTTTGTCTGACAGGATGAGCCTCCCCACAATATTACTACTAGCTGAGGATGATCCCATATAGGTCAAAACATGAACTATATCCAATTGATGAGTTTTGTGGAGACAACCTTGTGTTTTCCTCCTTTGTTGAATTGATCACTCCACTGAGATACCAATTACTTATGGACTTTACTGTGAAATAGATATATATATTAATATTTATATTCAATTAGTAACTCCTGTAATTCTACCGAATTTCTTGATTTATGTTTTGTGTGAACAATAAATGAATAATAATAATAATAAGTGAAATAGATATCCTATTTTTGTTCTGCTATTTTCATATCTTCAAGGTTTCAGTTTGGTATTTGTACTCCTTGATATTCCAACAATGAATTTGAGATGATTTAAATTTTTTTCATTAAAATGAGTGACAACATTGTTTCTTTTTTTTACTTCTTGCCACACACCACACACATCTACATACAGTAGGTAACATAAATTTCTACTTGTCTCCAAGTAGTTCAACTAAATGAACTTTTGATTTGCCTGATAAACATTATCATTATCTTTTTAGTTCTTATTTTTGACATATTTCAGAAAGATATTACCTGCCCTGTATGCAGGGTGTTTCAAAATTCAGTATTGAGATATCAAAGGAATATCTTTCAGATCAAGATAATACTTTTTTTCTATAAACATGTGTCACAAACTCTTCCTTTCCGATCTACAGAGTTGAAATTTCAAGATTTATTTCTTAATAGCTCTTTTAGTTTTCCAGATATTCAGATCAAATTTAGAACATAGGTAAAATGTAGGTTATGTTTCAGGTGAGATAGGATTATTCACATCATACAGTATCTCAAGTGATTGTAAGAATCTATAGGGAGATATTTTTTGAGGGGTAAAATTTTTTGCCCCATCAACTCTTTCCTGATGCGCCACTGGTAGATTTTCAACTAAGAAATGAGTTTTTTGTTTACATAGTTAACAATGAGAACAAAAAACACTGGAATAAATTAAATTTTAACACTCTTATTTCAACCTGAAAAATAAGCTCCTGAAATCTCTATACTAAATTTTGAAACATTCAGTTTATTTGCTTCATGCTTTCAAAGTGAACAATATTGAACAATGAGAATTCAAAAACAATTGTTACAAATTACAAGAATAGATTAATTTTGCTTGATTATAATTCACCATCAAATGCAATCTTTCCTGAAATGATCAGATGATACATTGAGCACATGAAATTTTGAGAGAGTACCTACCTCAATATTAGTACGCCCCAAAAATAGGCAAAAGGGCCTACCTGGGAGCAGTGCCTTCCCACAATATCACCAAGTAGATACCAACTGAATCAAGTTTCCTAGTTCAGTTTTAGATTAAGAAGACATGAATTGATTATAAGAGAATGCATGAGAATTCCTTTGGGACATACCCCACAGAGAGAACGGGAACGATTTATCCACAAACTCTAAAAAATACTGACAAATCTTGAATTTTATCCGAACAACAAAACACTGATAAAACTGATACCTACTTGAAAAACATTGAACCACACTTTGGCACAATTAAAATAATCATATATTTTTCCAACTGTGCTTTGGGATGGAAATAATGTAAAAGAAATGAAATAATAAAAATATTGACATCTTCACATTTCATTCGAAGATCCATTGAGCACTCAGCAGTGAGCTCTGAGTCCACAGACCTCCACTTTGTCTGTGTCTGACTCTGAGCTAACCTGGCTGATCAGCTGACGCTGAGGAATTTCACGATCACAGATCGTGGGTAATTCACGGAACTAAAACACTGTGTTCAAGTTCTGTGGGGGTAATTTCGTGTATTCAACGGAATGACAGAATTCAGAATTTTTATTTATTCATTACAAGGTTCATTACGATCGTGGCGCCATCTATCAATGAAAGGTGAGAAGTCTTACTCTCGTTCTGAATCGTTGTACACTTTTGTTACAAAGACAGTTGAAGAGTCGCTCCACCAGTCAACTTATAAACATCTCAGTTGTGCTATAGTTCCGAAAAATGAGTCAATAATACCGTCTCCGAGAAAGAACTGCAAGTCCTTTTATCTTCCATTCGACTTCGCGGTTACGTATATTACTAAACAACCACTAAATTTGCAATTTTTGAAATCAAATCACAGAATCAGACTGACAGAACTGACATCAGATATTTGATTACTTCGAAAGAATGATAAAGATGCCCACAACGCAGGTGTCCCTACTATTAAAAACTTAAAATTTCACGTCGATAATTTTCAGATTTCAAAATAATGTAATATCTTCTCAATATTGATTCGTCCTTTCTTCTGCCACAGCAAAAAATAGTGTATTATACACGTAGCTCACGGTTTTTTGTCTCCATCCGCTACGCGTCGGAAGACAACACAACCTCGAGCTTTAATCTACTACTTTTTTCCCTTGTATAATAAATAACTATCTTTGTTCGGAAATCAGAACGTAAAATGTGTTGATGTTTATTGTAATCTAGTTTTTATTCTTTTTTTCTAATGATTTATTATCAAGTATTTTTCTTTAAATTGACGAGTATTAACATTCTGCAATGTTGCAACACTATAAAATAAATACAAATTCAATCATAAAGTCTGAACGATACTTTGTTTTTCTGATTCCAGGAAGTACCTCTGGCACGACCAACCTATTCGGCACTACCCCCACCCCCTCGCTGTTCGGCCAGCAGGCAGCCACCGCCAACCAATCGCCGTTTGGCACCGCCGGCGCCACTCCCGGCTTCGGAGGCGGGCTGTTCGGTGGCACCGCCCCCTCTACAGGCTCCTCCCTCTTCGGCACCGCCCCCTCGGCTGGCTCCTCCCTCTTCGGAGGCGGGTTCGGTGCCAAACCGGCGGCGGGCGGATTCGGCTCGTTCGGTGGCAATGTGGGCGGGGGGTTTGCGGGGTTCGGGGGGGCGCAGCAGGGGGGCGGGTTTGGGGTGGGAGCTGCCCAAACTACTGGTTTTCCAGGTGAGAGTTGTCTTTGTTCAGTAAATGCAAGTTGTTCAACTACTCTTACAAATTGGGGATATTCCCGTCCAACTGGAAAATTGCAAGAGTACAACCAGTTCCTAAAATAGGCAAAAATACTCTACCTAGCAACTACAGACCGATCTCACTACTATCTATTATTTCAAAGATCATGGAGAAAGCTATCAACATCGAGCTCATGAAATACCTAGAACATTCAGGTATTATCAACGATAGGCAATATGGCTTCCGTCATCAAAGATCGACTGGTGATCTGCCCGCTCACGTCTCACATATATGGCATCAATCTATTGAAAAATATCGTGAAACCTATGTCGTGGCACTTGATATCTCCTAGGCACCCAAACATACCCTGAAACTGTTGTAGTCTGTCCAAAAAGGGCAATTCGTCTCGTGGTTGATGCCTCGCTCACAAACTCACTCACTTCCCTGGGACACCGTGGAAAAGATGGCGACCTGGCTTCATTTTATAGATATTTTCATGGACGATGCTCGTCTAAAATATCAACAATTGTTCCTTCCTTGGCAGTCTCTGCAAGATTAACCCGTCGAGTTGAGGCTTCGCCCCCTTCGTGGTCACTTTGGAGGCCTGCGGAACATCTCTTTCCAAAGACTCGTTCATCCAACGAACAGCGAGGCTCTGGAACACATCGCCAAGGGAGGTATTCCCCGAGGCATATAACCTCCAGAAATTTGAGTAGAACACCAATTCCTACCTTATTTCCCTTGGTTCTCAACTTCTCACGATGTTCTCTGAACATTCCAGGATATCCCTTTTTGTGGAAACCAGAACATAAAAAAAATTGCATTAGATGCCTCATGTACAGTCATCTTCAGAAAACATGTCGCACATGGACGATGATAGCATTCTTAATAACTCCTGCAATAAGAGCGCTGACACCATCCAACCGCGACATGATCTCTGAAGACGACTGTACACATATGTGCGTGGGAGCTTCGTTTCCAATATGCAGGGTTTCAGAGTTTGAGATATTTATTGTACTTTTCTAGTTTTCTCCTACATTTTTCAAATTGATGAATTGAAATTTTGTACCACTTGGTACACTTTGGAAACTCTATTTTCAGGGGTATCGAGCGTGCTTGAATACCTACAGGATAAAACTTGGGTCGTGAAAACTTTGAAACCCTGTATATCGGAAACGAAGCTCCCACGCATATATGTTTACAGGAGATTTTCATCTTGAGAACATTTCTCCTTCGGACTGCTACAAAAAAACTGACTCGCCCTGTATACTTGATGAAGTTCATATATTATTATTAGCCCCCAGCCAAGTGTCGAAGAGCCAGCAAGTCATCGCCTCCGTGTACGCCATCAACGTGTTCAACGACGAGAGGGACGACATCCTCAAGAAGTGGAACATGCTGCAGGCGTGCTGGGGCACAGGCAAGGGCTACCACCACACGTCGCAGCCGCCGGTGGAGTACGACGCGCGCAACCCGTTCTACCGGTTCAAGGCCATGGGCTACAACCTCATCCCCGATCAGGACACGTCCGACGGGATCGTGGATTTGGTGTTCAACAAGAAGCTGGATGAGTTGAAGTGAGTGACATGGCACATATTGCATTATATATAATATCAACATCTATTTAGTTATCAAATATCAAATATCATACAACCATACAAATACAGTCTACTATCTATCAAGCATCGAACATATTGGTCCTTCGAGCCGGATCTATACGAATCAAACCTTTAAGACTGCCACAGGATACAGAGCAGCACTCAAGACTACTTGGAGTAACAGTGAATGCAAAGCAGCTGGAGCTTGCACAGGTAGCAACAAGCAGTTCAAGCGAGCAGATAGCAATTCATTCCTTTTAACCTCACCAAATTTTCTAGTTTTATATCAAGAAATACTTCGTTTACAAAAATGATGCGAATAAGAAAGTTGCTAGACTCTTCAAATTGATTTTAAATGTACGACGCGCGCAACCCGTTCTACCGGTTCAAGGCCACGGGATACAACCTCATACCCGATCAGGACACGTCCGATAGGATCGTGGATTTTGTGTTCAACAAGAAGGTAGATGATTTGAAGTGAGTTTGGCAAAGGATTGCAATTCGTATTGCAACTCTAATATCAACCTCTATTTCATTAGCAAATATCATATAACCATACAAATACAGTCCACTATCGCCCATTTTGACAAATATTGTATTGTATTTATGCATCTTTATGGTGCCAATCAATTTATCTGACAATGATTCCGCAGAGTTATCCCCACCATTCGTGATTTCATTCGTTATAAATACTTGTTTGGCGTTAAGGATCATTGGCGTATTCTTTTAAATAATTTATGAATCAATCGCGGTGTCTATCTATTGTTATTTAGTCTGAGCCCTCAACCAATTTTAATGTTCAGGAACCAGCAAGAGGTCTTGAAGAACGGCCTCGCGGGAATCCTGGGCAACAAGCCCAACCTATCGGTCGACATAACCATGATCAAGGCCATCTCCGACACTCAGACAGAGGTGCGCATCACGGTGTCAGAAAAGGGCGTGACTGGCAGCACTAGGAAGGTCCCCGCCTCCGATCTTTCTGCGTTCCTGAACCAGCCTGCGCAGAAGCAGCAGCTGGCCAATGTGGGCGTGAGCGCTATTGGGGCGTGCGTGACGCCCAGCAAGGCGGAGTTGGAGGAGTATCTCAAGAATCCGCCACCAGGTGAGATAGTTTCGATTTATTCACACTTTTATAGAGTTATTGGTGGGTAACCGACCGGCCTCACCGACTGAATAGTTTCTCTCATCTAAACAGGCGAGAAAGTGAAGACATAAGTTCATTGTCTTTGGTTATGTGAAATATCTCTTCATTTGGCGTGTTTTGTTTTATCAACAGGAATAGATTTGTTGGTGTGAACTGATTGTTGAATGAATATTTAAATGTATTCACGTTTACTCCTAAATATAAGCAAAAAACTAGAAAATATTTCGAATAATGCGAGCCAACATGAGATAGAAAGAGATAGGTATCCGTAAATACTGCGGGTTGCCTGAACAATATTTTTGCCTCACTCGTCGTTCACAGAGGGTCCCTTTCCAGGTGTTTATATAGAGTTCATTGTTTTTTCCCAGGCATCGACCCTCAAATGTGGCAGGCGGCCATCCAGGACAACCCGAACCCGAAAAAGTACATCCCCGTGCCGATAAACGGCTTCTCGGATCTGCGATCGAGGATGCTGCACCAGGAGCGCCAGACGGGACTGCACCAGTCCTTCTTGGAGAGGGTCAACAAGGACATAGCGCAGCTCAAGACGCGGCACTCCTCGTCCACCGCCCAAATCACCGAGCTGAAGTCCAAGTTTCTGGAGTTGCAACACCGGATTTTGAGGGTGAGATGATATTGTCACGATATTCGCGGGAATCAATGTTACCAGGTGGCGCTCGGTTTTTATCGTTCCATGTCAAAGCCACGTCAAAACTGGGGGAAAACAAACTCAATCCTCATTCAATCCCATTAGTGCCATTAGCTCGTATACTGTGTACTGATAAGAGTGAGTAAGTTTTTAAATTTCATGACATTAATTGTCAATATTCGATCGAAAACGCTAATAATGCCTGTTTAAGGAGGGGTTTACCCTCTGAAGGAGGCGGGGCCCGATAACGAAGGAAGTCGTCTAGTGTCTCACTCCAACTCATTCTAGCGTAAAATATTTCAACATTTATAGTGAAAGCGGCCTTGAGTGTTACCCCTTGAGGCTTCTGCGGTCGTCTGAATTCTCCGAATAAGTCCCACAGGCACAGCTTACAAGTTGTGCTTCAGGCAATATACATCAGTATTCCGTAAAAATATGCATAGGCCGAAATGGAATACGAGTATGGAGTAATAAAATTAAAATTGTTTTCAACATTATGATGGATATTTCGCATGATAATAATATTAGGCCGGATGCTAGTAAAGGTACATACCCAGTGTTCATTTGAAAATTTTCTAACCGCCATGAGTAGAGTAGAGTAGTTTATTTGACCATGTTATGTAGATTACATGTAAGGCAAGTCATAATTACAATAGCCATAGTGCTTGAAAATAAAGATAATCTTCACCCTCAATCGCTTAAGTGCAGAAATAGATGAATTATATTACAAGAATACATGATTAAAAATACATGATAATTATGTTGAATATGGAACATCAAATGATCTGAATAAAATATTATTGCGATTTTTGCAATTTTCAGAAATTTTTCTAATTTTCAGGCATTTTTGCATTTTTACTATCTCTGCAATTTTCAGGAATTCTTGCGATTTTTGCAATTTTCAGTAATTTTCGCTATTTTCAGGAATTGGCAATTTTTTTCAATTTGAGGAATTTTTGCAATTTTTACAATTTTCAGGAATTTTTCCAATTTTCAGGAATTTTTCCAATTTTCAGGAATTTTTAGTAATTTTTGCAATTTTCAGAAATTTTTGCAATTTTTTCTAATTTTTCAGGAATTTTTGCAATTTTTGCTGTTTCTGCAATTTTCAGGAGTTTATGCAATTTTTGCAATTTTCAGGCATTTTTGCGATATTTGCAATTTTCAGGCATTTTTGCTATTTCTGCAATTTTCAGGAATTTTTGCGATTTTTGCAATTTTCAGGAATTTTTGCAATTTTTGCAATTTTCAGAAATTTTTGCGATTTTTGCAATTTTCAGGAATTTTTGCAATTTTTGCAATTTTCAGGAATTTTTGCAATTTTCAGGCATTTTTGCGATTTTTGCAATTTTCAGGCATTTTTGCGATTTTTGCAATTTTCAGGCATTTTTGCAATTTTTGCAATTTTCAGGAATTTTTGCAATTTTCAGGCATTTTTGCGATTTTTGCAATTTTCAGGCATTTTTGCTATTTTTGCAATTTTCAGGAATTTTTGCAATTTTTGCAATTTTTAGGAATTTTTGCAATTTCTGCAATTTTCAGGAATTTTTGCAATTTTTGCAATTTTCAGGCATTTTTGCTATTTTTGCAATTTTCAGTCATTTTTGCGATTTTTGCAATTTTCAGGAATTTTTGCGATTTTTGCAATTTTCAGGAATTTTTGCAATTTTTGCAATTTTCAGGAATTTTTGCAATTTTTGCAATTTTCAGGAATTTTTGCAATTTTCAGGCATTTTTGCGATTTTTGCAATTTTCAGGCATTCTTGCTATTTCTGCAATTTTCAGGAATTTTTGCGATTTTTGCAATTTTCAGGCATTTTTGCGATTTTTGCAATTTTCAGGCATTTTTGCTATTTCTGCAATTTTCAGGCATTTTTGCTATTTCTGCAATTTTCAGGAATTTTTGCAATTTTTGCAATTTTCAGGAATTTTTGCAATTTCTGCAATTTTCAGGAATTTTTGCTATTTTTGCAATTTTCAGTCATTTTTGCGATTTTTGCAATTTTCAGGAATTTTTGCAATTTTCAGGCATTTTTGCGATTTTTGCAATTTTCAGGCATTTTTGCTATTTCTGCAATTTTCAGGCATTTTTGCTATTTCTGCAATTTTCAGGAATTTTTGCAATTTTTGCAATTTTCAGGAATTTTTGCAATTTTTGCAATTTTCAGGAATTTTTGCAATTTTTGCAATTTTCAGGCATTTTTGCTATTTTTGCAATTTTCAGTCATTTTTGCGATTTTTGCAATTTTCAGGAATTTTTGCGATTTTTGCAATTTTCAGGAATTTTTGCAATTTTTGCAATTTTCAGGAATTTTTGCAATTTTTGCAATTTTCAGGAATTTTTGCAATTTTCAGGCATTTTTGCGATTTTTGCAATTTTCAGGCATTCTTGCTATTTCTGCAATTTTCAGGAATTTTTGCGATTATCGCAATTTTCAGGCATTTTTGCGATTTTTGCAATTTTCAGGCATTTTTGCTATTTCTGCAATTTTCAGGCATTTTTGCTATTTCTGCAATTTTCAGGAATTTTTGCGATTTTTGCAATTTTCAGGAATTTTTGCAATTTTTGCAATTTTCAGAAATTTTTGCGATTTTTGCAATTTTCAGAAATTTTTGCAATTTTTGCAATTTTCAGAAATTTTTGCGATTTTTGCAATTTTCAGGAATTTTTGCAATTTTTGCAATTTTCAGGAATTTTTGCAATTTTCAGGCATTTTTGCGATTTTTGCAATTTTCAGGCATTTTTGCGATTTTTGCAATTTTCATGCATTTTTGCAATTTTTGCAATTTTCAGGAATTTTTGCAATTTTCAGGCATTTTTGCGATTTTTGCAATTTTCAGGCATTTTTGCAATTTTTGCAATTTTCAGGAATTTTTGCAATTTTTGCAATTTTCAGGAATTTTTGCAATTTTCAGGCATTTTTGCGATTTTTGCAATTTTCAGGCATTTTTGCAATTTTTGCAATTTTCAGGAATTTTTGCAATTTTCAGGCATTTTTGCGATTTTTGCAATTTTCAGGCATTTTTGCGATTTTTGCAATTTTCAGGAATTTTTGCAATTTTCAGGCATTTTTGCGATTTTTGCAATTTTCAGGAATTTTTGCAATTTTTGCAATTTTCAGGAATTTTTGCAATTTTTGCAATTTTCAGGAATTTTTGCAATTTTCAGGCATTTTTGCGATTTTTGCAATTTTCAGGCATTCTTGCTATTTCTGCAATTTTCAGGAATTTTTGCGATTATTGCAATTTTCAGGCATTTTTGCGATTTTTACAATTTTCAGGCATTTTTGCTATTTCTGCAATTTTCAGGCATTTTTGCTATTTCTGCAATTTTCAGGAATTTTTGCGATTTTTGCAATTTTCAGGAATTTTTGCAATTTTTGCAATTTTCAGAAATTTTTGCGATTTTTGCAATTTTCAGGAATTTTTGCAATTTTTGCAATTTTCAGGAATTTTTGCAATTTTCAGGCATTTTTGCGATTTTTGCAATTTTCATGCATTTTTGCAATTTTTGCAATTTTCAGGAATTTTTGCAATTTTCAGGCATTTTTGCGATTTTTGCAATTTTCAGGCATTTTTGCAATTTTTGCAATTTTCAGGAATTTTTGCAATTTTTGCAATTTTCAGGAATTTTTGCAATTTTCAGGCATTTTTGCGATTTTTGCAATTTTCAGGCATTTTTGCAATTTTTGCAATTTTCAGGAATTTTTGCAATTTTCAGGCATTTTTGCGATTTTTGCAATTTTCAGGCATTTTTGCGATTTTTGCAATTTTCAGGAATTTTTGCAATTTTCAGGCATTTTTGCGATTTTGGCAATTTTCAGGAATTTTTGCAATTTTTGCAATTTTCAGGAATTTTTGCGATTTTTGCAATTTTCAGGCATTTTTGCGATTTTCAGGAAATTTGGAATTTTTACAATTTTCCGGAATTTTTGCATTTGTCAGGAATTTTCCCAATTTTCAGGAATTTTTCCAATTTTCAGGAATTTTTGCGATTTTTGCAATTTCCATGATTTTTTGCGATTTTTGCAATTTTCAGGAATTTTTGCGATTTTTGCAATTTTCAGGAATTTTTGCGATTTTTGCAATTTTCAGGAATTTTTGCGATTTTTGCAATTTTCAGGAATTTTTGCAATTTTCAGGCATTTTTGCGATTTTTGCAATTTTTGCAATTTTCAGGAATTTTTGCAATTTTCAGGCATTTTTGCGATTTTTGCAATTTTCAGGCATTTTTGCGATTTCTGCAATTTTCAGGAATTTTTGCGATTTTTGCAATTTTCAGGCATTTTTGCGATTTTTGCAATTTTCAGGCATTTTTGCTATTTCTGCAATTTTCAGGCATTTTTGCTATTTCTGCAATTTTCAGGAATTTTTGCGATTTTTGCAATTTTCAGGAATTTTTGCAATTTTTGCAATTTTCAGAAATTTTTGCGATTTTTGCAATTTTCAGGAATTTTTGCAATTTTTGCAATTTTCAGGAATTTTTGCAATTTTCAGGCATTTTTGCGATTTTTGCAATTTTCAGGCATTTTTGCGATTTTTGCAATTTTCAGGCATTTTTGCAATTTTTGCAATTTTCAGGAATTTTTGCAATTTTCAAGCATTTTTGCGATTTTTGCAATTTTCAGGCATTTTTGCGATTTTTGCAATTTTCAGGCATTTTTGCAATTTTCAATTTTCAGGAATTTTTGCAATTTTCAGGCATTTTTGCGATTTTTGCAATTTTCAGGCATTTTTGCGATTTTTGCAATTTTCAGGAATTTTTGCAATTTTTGCAATTTTCAGGCATTTTTGCGATTTTTGCAATTTTCAGGAATTTTTGCAATTCTTGCAATTTTCAGGAATTTTTGCGATTTTTGCAATTTTCAGGCATTTTTGCGATTTTCAGGAATTTTGGAATTTTTACAATTTTCCGGAATTTTTGCATTTGTCAGGAATCTTCCCAATTTTCAGGAATTTTTCCAATATTCAGGAATTTTTGCGATTTTTGCAATTTCCATGACTTTTCGCGATTTTTGAAATTTTCAGGAATTTTTGCGATTTTTGCAATTTTCAGGAATTTTTGCGATTTTTGCAATTTTCAGGAATTTTTGCGGTTTTTGCAATTTTCAGGAATTTTTGCGATTTTTGCAATTTTCAGGAATTTTTGCGATTTTTGCAATTTTCAGGCATTTTTGCGATTTTTGCAATTATCAGGCATTTTTGCGATTTCTTCAATATTCAGGAATTTTTGCGATTTTTGCAATTTTCAGGAATTTTTGCGATTTTTGCAATTTTCAGGAATTTTCGCGATTTTTGCAATTTTCAGGAATTTTTGTGATTTTTGCAATTTTCAGGCATTTTTGCGATTTTTGCAATTTTCAGGCATTTTTGCGATTTTTGCAATTTTCAGGAATTTTTGCGATTTTTGCAATTTTCATGATTTTTTGCGATTTTTGCAATTTTCAGGAATTTTTGCGATTTTTGCAATTTTCAGGCATTTTTGCGATTTTTGCAATTTTCAGGCATTTTTGCGATTTTTTCAATATTCAGGAATTTTTGCGATTTTTGCAATTTTCAGGAATTTTTGCGATTTTTGCAATTTTCAGGAATTTTCGCGATTTTTGCAATTTTCAGGAATTTTTGTGATTTTTGCAATTTTTAGGAATTTTTGCGATTTTTGCAATTTTCAGGAATTTTTGCGATTTTTGCAATTTTCAGGAATTTTTGCGATTTTTGCAATTTTCAGGAATTTTTGCGATTTTTGCAATTTTCAGAAATGTTTGCAATTTTTGCAATTTTCAGGAATTTTTGCGATTTTTGCAATTTTCATCAGGAATTTTTGCGATTTTTGCAATTTTCAGTCATTTTTGCGATTTTTGCAATTTTCAGGAATTTTTGCAATTTTCAGTCTTTTTTGCGATTTTTGCAATTTTCAGTCTTTTTTGCGATTTTTGCAATTTTCAATCATTTTTGCGATTTTTGCAATTTTTGCAATTTTCAGGAATTTTTGCGATTTTTGCGATTTTCAGGCATTTTTACAATTTTTTGCAATTCTCAGGCATTTTTGCGATTTTTGCAATTTTCAGGAATTTTTGCGATTTTTGCAATTTTCAGGAATTTTTGCGATTATTGCAATTTTCAGTCATTTTTGCAATTTTCAGGAATTTTCGCGATTTTTGCAATTTTCAGTCATTTTTGCGATTTTTGCAATTTTCAGTCATTTTTGCGATTTTTGCAATTTTCAGTCATTTTTGCGATTTTTGCAATTTTCAGGAATTTTTTGCAATTTTCAGGCATTTTTGCGATTTTTGCAATTTTCAGGAATTTTTGCAATTTTTGCAATTTTCAGGAATTTTTGCAATTTTCAGGAATTTTTGCGATTTTTGCAATTTTCAGGCATTTTTGCGATTTCAGGAATTTTGGAATTTTTACAATTTTCCGGAATTTTTGCATTTGTCGGAATTTTTCCAATTTTCAGGAATTTTTCCAATATTCAGGAATTTTTGCGATTTTTGCAATTTCCATGACTGCGATTTTGAAATTTTCAGGAATTTTTGCGATTTTTTGCAATTTTCAGGAATTTTTGCGATTTTTGCAATTTTCAGGAATTTTTGCGATTTTTGCAATTTTCAGTCATTTTTGCGATTTTTGCAATTTACAGGCATTTTTGCGATTTTTGCATATTTCAGGCATTTTTGCGATTTTTGCAATTTTCGGGAATTTTTGCAATTTTTGCAATCGCAATTTTCAGGAATTTTTGCAATTTTTGCAATTTTCAGGCATTTTTGCAATTTTCAGGAATTTTTGCAATTTTTGCAATTTTCAGGCATTTTTGCGATTTTTGCAATTTTCAGGAATTTTTGCAATTTTTGCAATTTTCAGGCATATTTGTGATTTTGGCAATTTTCAGGAATTTTTGCAATTTTTGCAATTTTCAGGCAGTTGTGCGATTTTTGCAATTTTCAGGCAGTTTTGCGATTTTTGCAAATTTCGGGCATTTTTGCGATTTTTGCAATTTTCAGGAATTTTTGCGATTTTTGCAATTTTCAGGCATTTTTGCGATTTTTGCAATTTTCGCAATTTTCAGGAATTTTTGCAATTTTCAGGCATTTTTGCGATTTTTGCAATTTTCAGGCATTTTTGCGATTTTTGCAATTTTCAGGAATTTTTGCAATTTTCAGGAATTTTTGCAATTTTTGCAATTTTCAGGAATTTTTGCAATTTTTGCAATTTTCAGGCATTTTTGCGATTTTTACAATTTTCAGGCATTTTTGCGATTTTTGCAATTTTCAGGCATTTTTGTGATTTTGGCAATTTTCAGGAATTTTTGCAATTTTTGCAATTTTCAGGCAGTTGTGCGATTTTTGCAATTTTCAGGCAGTTTTGCGATTTTTGCAATTTTCAGGAATTTTTGCAATTTTTGCAATTATCAGGCATTTTTGCAATTTTTAGGAATTTTTGGAATTTTGCAATTTTCAGGCATTTTTGCGATTTTTGCAATTTTCATCAATTTTTGCAATTTTTGCAATTTTCAGGAATTTTGGCAATTTTTGCAATTTTCAGGAATTTTTGCAATTTTCAGGAATTTTTGCAATTTTTGCAATTTTCAGGAATTTTTGCGATTTTTGCAAATTTCATAAATTTTTGCAATTTTTGCAATTTTCAGGAATTTTTGCAATTTTGCAATTTTCAGGCATTTTTGCGATTTTTGCAACTTTCAGGAATTTTTGCAATTTTTGCAATTTTCAGGAATTTTCGCAATTTTTGCAATTTTCAGGAATTTTCAGGAATTTTCGCAATTTTCAGGCATTTTTGCGATTTTTGCAATTTTCAGGCATTTTTGCGATTTTTGCAATTTTCAGTAATTTTTGCAATTTTCAGGCATTTTTGCGATTTTTGCAATTTTCAGGCATTTTTGCGATTTTTGCAATTTTCAGGCATTTTTGTTATTTCTGCAATTCTCAGGAATTTTTGCAATTTTTGCAATTTTCAGGAATTTTAGCAATTTTTCGCAATTTTCAAGCATTTTTGCGATTTTTGCAATTTTCAGGAATTTTTGCAATTTTTTGCATATTTCGGGCATCTGCGATTTTTGCAATTTTCAGGAATTTTTTAAATTTTTGCAATTTTCAGGCATTTTTGCGATTTTTGCAATTTTCAGGAATTTTTGCAATTTTCAGGCATTTTTGCGATTTTTGCAATTTTCAGGCATTTTTGCGATTTTTGCCATTTTCAGGCATTTTTGCGATTTTTGTAATTTTCAGGAATTTTTGCAATTTTCAGGCATTTTTGCGATTTTTGCAATTTTCAGGCATTTTTGCGATTTTTGCAATTTTCAGGAATTTTTGCGATTTTTGCTTTTTTCAGTCATTTTTGCGATTTTTGCAATTTTCAGGCATTTTTGCGATTTTTGCAATATTCAGGAATTTTTGCAATTTTCAGGCATTTTTGCGATTTTGCAATTTTCAGGAATTTTTGCATTTTTTGCAATTTTCAGGCATTTTTGCGATTTTTTGCAATTTTCAGGAATTTTTGCAATTTTTGCAATTTTCAGGCATTTTTGCGATTTTTGCAATTTTCAGGCATTTTTGTGATTTTTGCAATTTTCAGGAATTTTTGCAATTTTTGCAATTTTCAGGAATTTTTGCGATTTTTGCAATTTTCAGGCATTTTTGCGATTTTCAGGAATTTTGGAATTTTTACAATTTTCCGGAATTTTTGCATTTGTCAGGAATTTTTCCAATTTTCAGGAATTTTTCCAATATTCAGGAATTTTTGCAATTTCTGCAATTTTTGCAATTTTCAGGAATTTTCTCCGTGTTAATCATGTGATTTTGTGTGAGGTAGGAGACTTCAACAAAAGGTATATTTTTGCACTTTGTCTACAAACTTCGGCGATGAAATCTTCCCCACATGAAGTAAAATTGGGGTCCAGAGGAATTCCTGTAGAACAATAGATTTGTATTTGTTACAGCAGGACAATCTGGGTATTGTCAACATGTTGGAGCTGTTATTTTATATGTCAATTGATTTGCTCGTCATAATTAGTTTGAATTGTTTGAACTATCTTCAATTTTTCACCCGTTCACTGTTCACTAAACTAATAAAAATGTAATAATGTAAAAAAATTAACCAACTCCACCATCATCACTACCAACAGTGCCAAGACTTTATGTCATTGACAAGTTTGACAACTACAGCTACAGCAAGCTGTATGCAATGTAGTCTATGCACTTTATCCATAGACAACAGTTTGTTTTCCCCCAGTTGGAAGTTCGTATTATGTAACCTAGATGTCGCCCACTTCGCGAATCTCGCGAATAATAGATGGTTAGTCTATCGATGTCACGATATAATAGAGGTTGCTCCATCCATATCGTTTTATAAGGGGTTTGCTTGGCTTAATAGTTTGCGAGAGGTAATATTCGAATAGGCACTAATAGTTTGGGGCTAACTGAAAGTACGAGACTATATTCAAACATAACAATTTGTATTATAACATGTAATATTATGGGTAGCGATGACAAATATGAATGATCAACAATGAATATAAAGACCTAATAACAACTTACATTATAACGACTATCACGACGAGCTCTTGTCAAGTCAAGAGTAGCCCCAGACCGGACTAACTTCGGAACCCTCACATCCAAAATTTATATGCATCAATTTATCAGATTCGCACGTTTCTCAATTTCTCATGAGAGTTCCTTGGTTAGTTTTTATAATTCAATGTCAACGGATGATTTGATTAACTTTATGTTTATAAAACCCTCATGTTTCGAAATTTCTAATACACCGTATGTTCTACTGGTGACAATATTGACATTGTTTTCAGATTTTTTTTTTAATTGGAAACCCGCGTCGTTCGTGCAACTGCCGTCGCGTGCAGAAAAGTACTAGTTTCCGCACTTGTTAGGTAAATAACTTTTTCCAATTCTTCATTTCTAGATATTAGTGAAACAAGAGAGTACCCGAAAACTTGGAATAGCCATTCAGCCTGAAGAGGAACTCCTGAGAGGAAGATTTGAGATAATGCATCAACAATTGAATAATCCCAAGCAGTTCAAAGTAAGTAAATAACATTTTGTATTTCATATGGTTTTTAATTCATCTCGTCGGATCATTTGTACGTTTTGTATGCATCACCCTGTAATGGTTGGGATAAGGGTCACTCACCTTTAAAATTCTGTTTCTTACATTCTCCGATAGTGATTGCAACGTTTGCCTGAACAAATTTATAAAAAAATCCATTTCACATATGAACACTAAAGACTCTCAAGAGCAACTGATCTGCGTTCAATCCTTATCAAAATTAATATTGTATGTGTGATTTTTAACAGCAATTTAAGAACGGATTTCACGTCCACAATTAGTAATTTACTACTCTTTTGCTATCACCTAAATTATAGGTGAAAACCTCATTGATTCCAGTTGACGTTATTTAATTGAGGCAGAGATAGATTTTTCTATGCAGTTGAGTATATTTCAAACAAAATATATCTGATTCTGGAGGTAACCGTTATTTGTAGCAGCAAAGAAACGGCAACATTCTTATTGAAGTGAGTAATCACTTGCCTACCAGGTTTTTTATTTAGGAAATGAAAGTACCAAATTTCAACCAGATCGGTTCTAGGATATTCATGATATTTTATAATTACCGTTTTTTTCTTTAATTTCAATGCTCTGTATCTCAGAAACGAAGTAAATCCGGACATATGTTAATAGGAACCTTTCTTCCTAAAATGACCTAACGAATCACCACCTGCAGTTAGGAAATACCCTGTATATGTCTTACTATAAAGGATGTTGCCTAACGATGCTCTGAACAGTGTGAACTTCTTCAGGGCCAAGTGAACGAGCTCTTGTCCAACGTCAAAATGATCGAAGGCAGCCAAAAACACAACAACGCGTCCAACTACCGATTGGACGGCGAGGCCCAAGACGAGATCAAGCAGTTCCTGAAGATGGAGCAGAACGGAATCTCCCAGTTGATCAACATCATCCAGACCGATCTGGAGGCCCTGAACATCATCAACGATGGAATGAAGAAGATCATGCAGAATGGGAACGTTTTACCTAACATATGAACAGTTTTTTTGCGATTGTACTTTTTTATGGGGAATTTTTTGAGGTTATTTCGAGTGGAAGTCAGATATGAGTGACTGAGGCAATGTAAATTACTGATAATGATATTGAATGTCTGGGACTGATTGATACTAGGAATAAATATTTTTTATCGATTATCAAGGAGTCCACGATCCTTTTTTGACTACCTGTGTTTTTTGACTCGCGGTTAAAGTTTTTCAAATGATCTGAGAAGACATTGAGAAGACAGACTCAACATAACCTTAAATCAAATTTGTAATAGGTCGCGTGCACGATGGCCGACCCTGGAGGAGAATAATTGAACACAGCCTCACTTTTCTGTGAAACATTGAAACACAACCTCACTTTTCTAATTTTTTTACAAAGGAATCAAAGGATTGAATAAGATTTTCACAATTCTTTGGCATACGAATCGGGTTTTTTTGCAATACATTAATTCAAGCATGCCATCACATTGTGCTGTTGTACAATGCACAAAAAATGCAGCGAGAGACGAAGGAGTATGATTTTTCAGGTAAATAGTGATCTCACATAGTTTTCATTATGAAATTTTGTCATTTCTCAATAGAATTCCTTCTGCCACTTCTGCAATAGATGCTAATACTGCTAATAGACAACACACACTATCATATTTCGTCAGCATGTCAGACCAGTCCTCCCGTTTTATTTCATGATTCTATCAAACTACTTGCCTTCTTTTAGATATTATTATGACAAAATTTCAAAATGAAAACTATATGTGAGCCATGTATGTGATTGACTGTAGTACTTTTAGATCACAACGAGGGAATGAAGAGGATTATGCAGAATAGGAACGTTTTGCCTAACATATGAATAGTTTTTTGCGATTGTACTTTATTTTATGGTGATTTTCTTGAGGTTAATTCGAGAGGAAGTCAGATGAGTGACTGAGGCAATGTGAAAAACTGGTAATAATATATTGAATGTCTCGGACTGATGGATACTAGGAATAAATATTTTTTATCGATTATAAAGAAGTCCACTTTTTGACTAGCTGTGTTTTCTGACTTGCCGTTAAAGTTTTTCAAATGATCTGAAAAGGCATTGAGGAAACAGACTCAACATAACCTCAAACCAAATCTGGAATTATTTCTTCCGATTTTTTATTTAGGTTAGGACAATAAATATGGAAGGTGACCAATCACAAACGACTGAAATACAGACAAATTCAAGCAATTTCATCAGTGGAAATTTTTTCCATTGGAAATGATACAGGAATGCTGCAGCATACATGCACTGCTGGTAAGTGATTTGTTAATTTTGTAATTTCTATTTACTTTTCTTCATGACATTGTTTCGGTCTTATTATTAATAAGAATACATATATTGTATCGATTAGAAGAAACCCTTGACTCTCATTTGACACACTGTATTTTTTGACTTGGGGTGTTTGACATAAAATATTTCTCAAATTTGTTAAATTCCAACGTAACTGATGAATGTGAGAGAATCCAGTTCATCAAAAACACAGGATGTGAAGTACCTATATTTGAAATATTTTTGCGAAACTAAATTCTAATGATTCTAAATCAAATGATTTGAAAATGACAGACCTAACATGACCTAAAACCACATTTTCAATGATTCACGATTTTTTTCAGGTTAGCACAATGAATATGGAAGATGATTATCACAAACAACTGCTACACAGACAGATTAAATCCATGCAGTCTCATCAGTCACTATTTTTTTCCATTGGAAATGATACAGGACTGCTGGTAAGTGGATATGTTTGTTAATTTTGTATATATTTTTGTAACTTTTCCCCACTTTTAACGCCCAAGATTCAAATACTATTTTTTGTTTTTACAATTCTAACAAAGAGGAATAGAAAAAAATTTCATCAAATAACTATAAAATTCTTTTATTAATATATATTATAATTATATTTTTATCACAATCAGTCATTGCCAAGTTTCGGGTTAATATCAGCATGTACAAAAAAAAACTCAAACCAAACAAAAAAAAATGAAACACTCGGTAATACTGTTAATTTAAACTAGTTGACCACAGCAGTAAGAAATCTCACCATTCTCTCCATTCATTCAATTCAAAACTTCCAATCAAATATCTCTCCTATACAAACTCAAATCTAAAGGTAAATCGAATTGCATATCTTCCTCGTACCCACCAGCTTGGCCAATTTGAGGATCAGTGTATCGATTCCACGTACTCAAAATATCATCCCCACCCTGCACGTCGATAAAAGACCCGAATTTAAAATAGTCGGGCGACCTCTTCAAACAATTCGTCACACAACACACCCTGTTGCAATCGCAAGGATGCCTTACGTTCTTCCTGTACAAGGGCTGAGACCCTGTCCAGACCTCTTCACTAGGCCTAGTAGCTTCCAGGTTCCTCCTGTTGTCATTATCGTAGACGAAATGCTTGTATGTCTTCACGATTCCTAAGGCTGTTAGGGTAGAAAACTAGTTTCTCCTATGCAAACTCAGATCCAAAGGTACATCAACTTGCATATCTTCCTCGTACCCACCAACTTGACTGCCAATATGAGGTTCTATGTATCGATTCCACGTACTCAACCCATCATCCCTACTCTTCACGTCGATAAACGACCCGATCTTGAAGAACTCGGGCGAACTCCTCAAACAGTTCGTAACACAACACACCCTGTTGCAATCGCAAGGATGCCTGATCACGTTTTCCCTGTACAAGGGCTGAGACCCTGTCAAGACATCTTTGGCCCTGGTCTCGGAGGCCTGGTAGCTTCCAAGTCCCTCTCGTTGACGAAGTGCTTGTAGGTCTTCACGTGCTCTCTCAGGCTCCTGGGGTCGGTGTAGTGCTTAGGGCAGCCTGGGACCTTGCACTGGTAGGGCTTGTCTACCTGGTTGTTCCTGGTGTGCTTCAACCTGTCGCTAGAGTTAGAGTTGGCCTTGGTGCAACCTGGCGTAGGGTTTTTCGCCGCTGTACGATCTGAAGTGGATTTTCAGGTTAGAAAACTAGTTTCTCCTATGCAAACTCAGATCCAAAGGTACATCAACTTGCATATCTTCCTCGTACCCACCAACTTGACTGCCAATATGAGGTTCTATGTATCGATTCCACGTACTCAACCCATCATCCCTACTCTTCACGTCGATAAACGACCCGATCTTGAAGAACTCGGGCGAACTCCTCAAACAGTTCGTAACACAACACACCCTGTTGCAATCGCAAGGATGCCTGATCACATTCTCCCTGTACAAGGGCTGAGACTCCGTCAAGACCTCTTCCACCCTGGTCTCACTAGGCCTGGTAGCTTCCAAGTCCCTCTCGTTGACGAAGTGCTTGTAGGTCTTCACGTGCTTCCTCAGGCTGCTAGGGTCGGTATAGCGCTTAGGACAGCCTGGGACCTTGCACTGGTAGGGCTTGTCCACCTGGTGGGTCCTGGTGTGCTTGAACCTGTCGCTGGAGTTGGAGTAGGCCTTGGTGCAACCCGGCATGGGGCAGGCGTAGGGTTTTTCTCCGCTGTGCGATCTGGAGTGGATTTTGAGGTTTTCTGCTCGGGAGAAGGACTTGTCGCACTGGAAACATTTGTGGGGTTTCTCGTTAGTGTGAGTTCTAACGTGCACCAACATTTTGTATCTGAAAATAAAAGGGATATGCTGAATTGTTATACGTTAAAGGTGGCCCTACCGACTGCGCCAAATTTATTTACTATTAATGAGGATACAAGAAGTGATGGGGCTATTATAATATTGAAGTTTTTGATGATAGGACTATGGTTGACCATTATATACAGGGTGTTCCGTCAGTATACAGTCATAACTCAATACAGATGGAAATAATACTGCTCACATGAAGCATTCTCTCGAGGTTGCCACTATACCAAACGAGTCAGAAATTATTTTTGTTTTAGATCAATAATTCATTAGGATATGGAAAGCAGAAAGGGAAAAAATCAACATATTTCTGTTCAATGATTATTCTTGTTGGTTCTCTCTCGATATATCAGTATCAGTTGAACGGCATTCTCGTGGTAATTGATTTAAGATATAGTTTATATAATCATATTAGGGGACTACAATACAAAATATAGCTTTCGTGAAATTGGATATTATCTGTATGATAGTGAGCACATCCATAAAAAACTTTAGATGTGCATGAATGTCGACGGTGAAAATGATCCTACCGACTGCGCCAAATGTAAAAAGATCATCCTTACCTGGCATTGAATCCTTTGTTATTTCTTGTGCATCCTTCCCAGTCACAATAGAACAACCCCCCTAGGCCACTGGCGGCGTGTGCGTTTGACACGTGGTTGGCTAATTGATCCAAAGAGGAGAAAAATATGCCGCACGATCTCCAACGGCATTGGACGTCCGATTTTTCGTGGGTTTTTATTATGCTGGGGAGGCGGAGTTCTTTTTGAGGGATTTCGATGCTCGATACGGAATTTTCACTGTCACTCTGTAACCAAAAAAAAAAAGAATATTGAAGATGGACCAAAATTGATAACTAGGAACTTTTTTCAAATATACCGGGTGATGTGTATGTAATATATTCCTATATTCCTATTACAAACAATCTTCATATTTTGAAGTCATTGTTCTACCATTACTCTGTGTATAATCCATTATGAATCACCCTGTATAGATCCTTTTGGTAAAATTAAAAGTTTTTGCATGTCTTGAAACCGATACCGGGTGATACAGGGTGGCCCGATACCCTGTAACTTCTGCATTCGTGAACGGATTTTTCTGAAATTTGGTTCGGTTATATAATCAACCATTTCGGATTTGATCACATTACAATCCAATATGGCGGACTTCCGGTTTTCCTGGATTGGATTGGATTTTTTATTGTTCAAGTGGAGTTTGGTGATATATTTGATTGAAATATTCTTCGGGAATTGTGAAGACCAAAATCACTTTTCAACATCATTTTGATCTTTAATCAAAAGACATTTCACATTTGATTCTCAAATAATATCAGATATGTATGAACACCCTTATGATTATTATTTTGTTGATTGTTAATTGTTAATTCCTAATTGTTAGTTTAATTGAATCTATAAACCCAGCATAAAAGTTAAAATGTCTCACAAAAATCACGATAAATATGATACATTAGAAAAGTTTATTCAAAACTGACACTTGTACCACTAAGAAAGGACGCCGGCTGTATCTCGGAAACTATTTGCCGCACAGGTTTCGGAAAAAAATATTTATGATAAAAGTGGCCAAGAAAAATCTCTGGAAATTATTTTCAAGTTTCCAGGACAGCCGCTAGAGAGCATAATTGCATTGGCCGACTCGAAAAACTGGCTTTTATGAAAATTTGATATACCAAGACATATCAGAAACACTTGTTCCACGTTCTCGAGTTGATTTCCAATCATTTCGATCAAAAAAAATTGCGCTAGCTCTTTAAATAAAAGAGGGAGGGAAGGATGAATAGTACTCTGGAAAAACTCATACTACTACAGTTTGGTGTAACGGAATTAAGTGATCTTGGTCTCATTATGAAGGGTTTTTTCAGATCTTCCCGATGAATCACGAATCAAGTCGATTTAAATCCCGTGGTGGCCGCTAGATGGCATCGTTTGAAAAATCAACCGATTTGCCATTTTTTTTCGAGAATTTCAAATGGAACCATATATTTTTCCTGCTATGATATGGAAGTAAAATAAACGAGAAGAAAAATGGTGAAAACCGCGAGTTGATACCTCTTGAAGAACCGGAGAAATACTCTGAATAACTAAAATTTAAACTGTTAGCATGTTAAATGCCTCCTCATTCGTTATCGGCATTTTGACAAATAAGCAATCCACAGTGAAAACTTCCAATGGAACTTCAATTATATTTTGACGTTTCTTTCATTCAAAGCCAACTTGCCTTTTCTCATTCCTGAGCCTATACTCACTACTTACATTTCAATTAGCTATGTCATTACTAAGAGTCTCCTTCACTATTGTGAGATATAACAGCAGTTTGTGAAACCAAAATAAATGAATTATTGAGATACAGGATATTTCTGATTACGATTATTGAAGTTTGAATATTTTCATAATATTATTTAGAGTATTTCACCGGTTCCTCAAGAGGTATCAATTCGCGGTTTTCACCATTTTTCTTCTCGTTTGCTCTACTTTCATATTAGAGTAGAATGAATATATGGTTCCATTTGAAATTCTCGAAAAAAATGGAAAATTGTCTTATTTTTTAAACGATGCCATCTAGCGGCCACCACAGGATTTAAATCGACTTGATTCATGATTCATCTGGAAGAACAAAAAACCCTTCATAATGAGACCAAGATCGTTGAATTTCGTTACACCAAACTGTAGTAATGAGAGTTTTTCCAAAGTACTATTCATCCTTCCCTCCCTCTTTCATTTAAAGAGCTAGCGCATTTTTTTTGATCGAACTGATTGGAAATCAACTCGAGAACATGGAAAAGGTGTTTTTGACATGTCTTAATATTTCAAATTTTCATAAAAACCCGTTTATAAAACTGGCCAATGCAATTTCGCCCTCTAGGGGCTGTCCTGCAAACTTGAAAATAATTTCCAGAGATTTCTCTTGGCCACTTAAGACTTCGAAAACAAAATAATTTAATGCAACTTATGTAATAGTGTGAGTAGTACATGGGAGAACACAAAAGAAGTTAAATGTATCAAAATCCTTGGATGGAAATATATGTAACGCGATTTAATGAAAGTAACAAATTGTTGAAGAGGAACACTTTTCAAATTAAAACATTTTAATGATAAAATATTGAAACACCGAAACATTGCTTATAATGTGACGCCCTGTATCTCACCTGTGTACTGTTTGGAGAGGCGGGCATCAGTATTTCTTCGTTCATTTCCGTCCTGGTGGAATAAGTTTCGAACAGGCGAAAATTCGGGAAACGGTCTTCCACATCCAGGGCTGTATAAGGGTGGTAATAGTGCAGGGGTGGACCTTCTACCATCCTGTAGTCGAAACGGTACATTTTTACTATTATCTTCCTTACTATCGCTACGCGAAACTGCAGTTGATTGATCTCTCGAGACGACCAAATTTGAATACTTGTAATTTTCACAATAAGCTTTATTTATATAAGATGTTTAATGCATTGGCGTGCAAGGTTTGAGATTGTGATTAAAATATTTGTAAGTAGATCAAAGATTTTTTTCTGTTCCAAAGGTCAAGTACCTTTAAATTGAGAGTGATATGTTATTTATTTTTTTCAATCTCTATGAGAAGCTGGATTCAAAACTGTATCAGACATAGGGTTTGTATACAGTGCGTCCGTTAAATTCATTGCTCTCGTAAAATGTGGTCGCACTGTGTGAAAAATGTCTGTGTAATATATTCAAGAATTCAGCTTTTAAATACTGTCTGTAGGTTAATCGAGGAGGTGGTAAATTCGTTATTCCAGATTATTTGGGATTTTCACTGCGTTTAAAGAATTTCCCTATCAGAGAGCCTGAAAGAAAAATTCACTAGCTTGTCAGTGACAATTTGAATTGAAAAAGGTTTGGAGAAGAGAAATAAAGGTATACAGTGTGTCCCACTTACCATGCTCACCATGGGTATCTTTTTAACGGTGAGAGATACGAGGTCGGTTAATTTTGATAAAATCTATTCGTTTTTGTTTTATACGCAAAAAACAGATTTTGATCATTTTCATGTCTCCTCCGTAACTTCTTTATTTATGAAAATATTCAAATAGGAATTTCACATTCTCATAGCAGTTTTTCAAAGTGATTTCGAAAAAAATATGAAATTTATACCAACTCTTCTAGAATTTGAGATATCAGCACCAACTTTAGTTTTTCAAATGTAGGTCATAACTCACTATGACTTAGTTACAAATAACTTTTTTTTCTCTTACAGATGATCGCAGTAATAGTTTTGTGTTGATAACAACGGAGTTATCGTTATTTAAACGAAAACAAAAAATTATTTGGAAGCCGCCATCTCGAATTTATAAATTTTAACAGAAAAATCATGATCTCCGACCTCAAAAACCCCCACTTACCAATTTTGAATGGAATCGGACCAAATCTTGTCCGCCATCTTGGAGCAGCCATTTTTTTTTAATTTCAACAAAAATTCCATAATGTATTGTCACCGAAATTATGAACACCTGCCAAATTCCAAGTTAATCGGAGTTATGGAATTTTTGTTGAAATAAAATAAAATGGCTGCTGCAAGATGGCGGGCAAGATTTGGTCCGATTCCATTCAAAATTGGTAAGTGGGGGTTTTGAGGTCGGAGATCATAATTTTTTTGTTAAAATTCATAAATTCAAGATGGCGGCTTCCAAATATTTTTTTGTTTTTGTTTAAATGACGATAACTCCGTTGTTATCAACACAAAACTATTACTGCGACATATCATTTGTAAGAGAAAGAAAAAGTATTTGTAACTAAGTCATAGTGAGCTATGACCTACATTTGAAAAACTAAAGTTGGTGCTGATATCTCAAATTCAAGAAGAGTTGGTATAAATTTCATATTTTTTTCGAAATCACTTTGAAAAACTGCTATGAGAATGTGAAATTCCTATTTGAATATTATCATAAATAAAGAAGTTACGGAGGAGACATGAAAATAATCAAAATCTGTTTTTTGCGTATAAAACAAAAACGAATAGATTTTATCAAAATATTTTTTCACATTATAGTTGGCCTTGACAAACTCCACATTTGGTGTCATTTAACCGACCTCATATCTCTCACCGTTAAAAAGATACCCATGGTGAGCATGGTAAGTGGGACACACTGTATATAGAAAAAATATCGACTTTTTACTTATCTTTGGACGTTCCGGAAACGAATCTGCTCCCGTTTACAAAATAAAAAATGGATTTTTGTATGGCAAATTCGTATTTTTCTTGACACTTCTCAGATCTCAGTGACAATTGGTGACGTTGGCAATCAAATGAGTGACAGGATGTTTTCATTAATCAATCTTGAATGTGTCTTGAATTCACCATTTTCATTTTCAGATTTCAATAGTGAATACCATGTTCTATCTATATCAACTGAACAGGAAGCAATGCTATTGTCTCCGTTCAGAAGAATGCAAGCAGATTCCTTGATGTTTCTCTTCAGTAAGGATATGTTTAGCTAGTTTCGATTTGTCGATGTGTCTTTTCTTTATATTGTCCTTATGTTCCTACGTCCTTACTGAGAGAGGTCTCTTGGCAAGGAACATAAGTACAATATAAAGAAAAGACACATCGACAAAAACATTGGAGCACAATGCTTTGTAGCATAAAATAATATCATTCAGGTAATCTTCTGGGCGCCACTGGAATGATTATGGTGCACCTAGATACATTTTCATACTGATATCACAAACAAACCAACAAATATCAGCTGAGTGGTTTTTGAACCCTCAAAACATACAAGTTTACATGAACTTTTTTTCATTTTCATTAGCTCTATCGCCTTTTAAATTTTTCCGATCACAATCTGAAGTAACAACCTATCAGCTAGAAACAGGTGTCTAAAAATCATAAAAATTGTTAATTTCGTTATTAGCATAATCTAAACTACTCAACACTAATTTCGTCGCACACCAAAATGTTGCCCCTGTTATAATGTGAATAACTTTTTTCAGTTTAGAACAGTTTGAATTTGGTTCACACTGTTCGATAGCCTAGTCCTTCAGCTATAATCTGGTACTACATTGAAACATAAGGGTATTCACATAAAATCTCTACATGGTGTTTTCCGACACTGTGCGAAATTTCGGAATATTCAAAAGGCTCTCAAATGGTGAAAAAAAAAATGTTTTTCAACTTCGACAACAGAGGCATGAAGATGATCTCATTACCTCGAGATATTTCGCGAATCAACTTCCTATCTCTCTTTTTCAAAGAGTTATCTCAAAAAATCAACTTTTTGGTTTTGCAGCCATAACTTTTTTCCTCGTCAACTGATTTTGGAAATCTTAGGCTCATTTTGAAGATAGAACTTCAGATGAAGAGATATGAATATCAGAATTGACTCAAGATGGCTATCAAAGATCTAGAGTTTTCTTGAAAGTGGCCCAAATCTGGGACGCCCTTCGAATCTTGGTTGGGAGGAGAATTTAATGAAAATCAACTTGTTCTCAAAAAAACAATTCATTCTGGATGCGTCCATATTTTCCCCGCTCTCAGTAGTCAAGAATTGTGCGTGGGAAAACACAATTGAAACATGTTCTTGCAAAAACATTAGATCATTTCTCCTCTGTAATGCATGACCCGCCGTAACCAACGTTTACAAGAATTGTTGAAAGAAGTTGAAAGATTTTTTGAGATCACTCTGTAAATAAGAGAGATAGGAAGTTGATTCGCGAAATATCTCGAGGTAATGAGATCATCTTCATGCCTTTGTTGTCAAAGTTGAGAAAACAATTGTTTTCACCATTTGAGATTCTTTTGAATATTCCGAAATTTTGCACAGTGTCGGAAAACACCATGTAGAGATTTTATGTGAATACCCTTATGTTTCAATGAAATACCAGATTATAGTTGAAGGACTGGGCTATCGAACAGTGTGAACCAAATTCAAATTGTTCTAAACTGAAAAAAGTTATTCACATTATAACAGGGGCGACATTTTGGTGTGCGACGAAATTAGTGTTGAGTAGTTTATATAATGATGTTTAAAAAATACTGCGAGCAAAGAACAACAAATATTTGCAAGCAAAAAAGTGCACCAGTGGCTATTTTTTTTTTGGGGGGGGGGGGGGGAATGCATGAATGAAACTCTGATGAGCCGCTATCTGTCGAATTGCTGGGGTTCCATGTTTCCATTCAAGTCTAATCGTAACTGGTAAAATCCAGTCAAGATTTTTTTCTGGTCAAAGGGGTCTGATAAGACAATCCGCATTATCACAAACTGGTCGGAAATCCAGTTTTAACCGGTTTTTGATAAGAGACATCACTCTACCAAGTAGTGCGTTTTGTTTACATACATTACTTGCTAATTCAAGAAATTGATATGTTTACTCGGCGAGACAAACTCTGAACAGGTGATTTTTGAGATAGAATAATAGAATAGAAAATATGCCAAGTATGATTGAATTGAGACGATACAACAAGCACTTGAACACATGATATCTCAAGAATGTCACATTGTGTATGAATTGTGAGGCCACATACCTCTGAAATATGAAGATTTGGATAACTTTACATTTGTTCCATGATTCCGCACGATTCGCTGTTTTGTTTCAATTAACAGTGCTGCTCCTAAGGTGGCGTATGGAGTTAATAATAAAGCATACACAGAACACACATGGGCTGAAGGAACTCTCGTAAGGTCGATGGCTTGTTGGTATGTACCTGTGGTACATACAAACTAACGAAGTACATTTCAGTTTTTGGGTGTATGATAAATTGACATTCATCATACAGGGCGTGGAAATGAATTCTGAATTGAGACTCTATCACGAATCTGCGATTAGAGGTCTATAAAAATCACAAGTTTCCATCGTTCAAGTTTGAACCCCCTGATTGGGTATGAAAGTGTTGAAAAGGAATATTCTCAGATAAATTATGAACATACAAAAATGGATATATATTATATATTTATATAAAGCAATACATTGAGAATTCTCATTCTCTATGTGATGAGAATATTTACCCTTTTTCAGTTAATTCAATAGTAGTTGTTTTCTATTGAATTAACTGAAAAAGGGTAAATATTCTCATCACATAGAGAATGAGAATTCTCAATGTATTGCTTTATATAAATATATAATATATATCCATTTTTGTATGTTCATAATTTATCTGAGAATATTCCTTTTCAAGTACATTTCACTTTTACCCCCTTATATTTGTTCCTACTGTAAAATGCATTCATTGATTATGAAAATCCAACAAAAATTGGATTAGTATTTAAAAATGATCGAAACAAAACGAGAAATCGAAAAATGAATTCTGCTTAAATCAGCCGCTTTTGCTTACACTTTTGGAAAATTTAGAATCAATGGGACTCAGAGGCATGATAAGGAACCTTTTAGATTCGTATCTTCAGAATAGGACAATCAGTACCAAATCTACTAACTCAGAGTTTCATAGACTACCGA